CCAATGCTTCTTACACCTGAAGAGTCGATACACATACAAGTAAGTACCTTATGCTAGAAATGGAAATCAACACCCATCATATATAAATCCTATGAATACACCCCTTGAGCATACCATTGGACTTATTCAGCTGTTGTGGATATTCTCTAGCATTGTCCCATCATATTTTTACTAATTCTGCAATTAAGACTGGCCGCACCATTTTACTAAGCGTATTTGTGATTCTCTTAGACCATAGACATTGCATCTGGGTTCTTTATTGTCAAAATTTGTCTGGATCTGGTCTCTAACTATAATGTCTTTTTGTCTTTTGGTCCTCAAATCCAAAATTAGCCAAAATTAGTTTTTTTCTTACAAATTAAAGTCTAACATATGCATGATTTGACCCTCAAATCCAAAATTAGCCAAATTTAGTCCTCACATATGCATAATTTGACCCCATAGAGGATAACAATTGGAAATCTGTATTTATCATGTGACAATGTTCTTATGTTTGTTGGATTTTCCCTACAATTTTTATGGGCCTTTCCCTTTAATATCTCTCTGTCACTTGTTAATGCAGAGCAGAATAGGAGCCGATATTATCATGGCTCTTGATGATGTTGTAAAAACCACAATAACAGGTCCAAGAATTGAGGAGGCTATGTATCGAACTCTTCGCTGGATAGACAGGTGCATAGCTGGTAATATGATATGTAATATTCACCTAGCTTTTTCAGATAAATAGGTTGAGCAAGCTTATCAATTGCATATCCAGTGATTAGAATCATGCCCAATTATATTCAAGGAGAATTCACAGTTTTCCGCATGTTTGTAATAATATAAGCTGTATATTTTGCCAACAATGTGAATGCATAAGAAATGGCTCAGTATGTTACAATAGAGTGGAAAAAATAGACATTATATTTCCCATTCCCGCTATTTTTTATAAAATGTCTACCATTGTAAATTGGACAGCTCACAAAAGACCACATGATCAGAATTTATTTGGCATTGTCCAAGGTGGTTTAGATCCCGTGCTAAGGTAACTTCACTTAAATGCTCATATTCATTAGTCAATGACATATATACCTATCTATGAACTGATGAAGCTATTATTTATAATTAGAACTGATTTTTTCCAATTAGGGATATCTGTGTCAAGGGTCTGGTGGATCGCAATTTGCCTGGGTATGTTTTAACTCCATATTTAAATTTTTATGCATTAATTGAATTTAATCATTTCAGATCCTAATTAACATGCACATTTGAACTAAAGTGTCTGTTAGTCTCTCAAAAGAGTGGAGATACATTTTCAACATGTCCTTCATAGCTTATAAATATTAACCTCTAGATTGTTCTTGTTTGTGATTCACAATGTCTGCTATATCTATTCCTAAAACAAATGAGAAATGCGTGATATTTTTCTACCTCATTGCATTTATATCCTCTTAGAATGCTTCTGCATTATGCTCTACTACATTTAAGATATTATAAGAATTATATTACTGTGGGCGGGGCGGGGTGTCTTAGAACTTTAATATGGTTCCATGCATGGCCTTGGGTGGCAGATGCATTGGAATTTTAAAGGTTTTCAATACGAACTTACCCCATAAAGACTGACAAAAGCATGATTGGCAGTCACAATCGGGTTTGTTCAAATTCCCCTTTCATCATCTTGTTATCTCTATAAAACTAATTTTGCACTAGGTAGCTTGACTAGTTTTCTGTTTCAACTATGTTATTGCGTGTGTTACTGATAACTATGGAGCATAATGACAAAATTTACATCTGTCACAGTTATGCTATTGGTGGGCTTGCGGGTGGTGAAGATAAAGACTCATTTTGGCGTGTTGTGGCTCAGTGTACAGCTGCACTGCCCGAGGATAAACCTCGATATGTCATGGTATGTTTCAATTCTAAGAGAAAAAAATGATAACAATAGTTGCTCCTCCCTTTGCCCCCTTTTAATCTTCTTGCTTTCTTTTTTTTTGTATCCCCCAAACCAATCTTTCTTTTTCCTTTTAAGGAAAGGTGTTATTCATTTTTGTACATTTCTTTTTGGATAACTCTCAACTGCATAATTTCAGTTTCTTAAACTATTTGCTAAGTCAAACCAAAAACTATAGATGGGGAAATACTACGGAGGAAGTGTTGTTGCTGCTAGTGTTGTTGTTACTGAACCTTCTTGTTTTGTCCTGTGTCTGATTTATTTTATGATACCTTGTTTGCCTATGACCCAGGGTGTTGGATACCCTTTGGACATTGTAGTTTGCAGTGCTTTGGGTGCTGACATGTATGACTGTGTGTATCCTACTCGTACTGCTCGATTTGGCACTGCTCTAGTGCCTGAGGTGACTTGATTTATTATAGATCTATCATCTGTAGTCAGTTAAGTTACACCTGCCATAACCACATTCATTGTATCTGGAATGCAGGGAGTTCTGAAGCTTAAACATCAAGCAATGGCTGGTGACACCCGTCCAATTGATCCTACTTGTGATTGTATGGTATGTTCGGGTCACAGATAATGCTAGAGGGAAGAGAAAAAGTGACTATAAAATCAATTTATCTGTTTTGTTTTATATTGGACAAGGCAAAAAAGAATAAACAATGATTAATGTTTTATTTTCTCATATATATTGGGGATGGGTGGAAGTTGTATTTGTGGAAGATAAGTTGCGGGAAGCTAGAATGAGATTGTTTGGACACATATTGAAGAAAAGTATGAATGCTCCAATGGTGAGATGTGAGAGGCTTGTGGTTGGGGTGTGAGGAGGGCTAGAGGTAGACCTAAAAAGTAAGAAGGGTTGGAAAAAGGTGATTAGACATTTAGACATGACTTACGGTTTCATGATCTTTCCTTTGTTGTGATCCTATGTCTTGAGTTGAGATCCCTTGGAAACAACCTCTCAATTTTCCGGGAAAGGGTGTACAGACACCTTGCTAGACCGGTAGACCCCACTTTTTGGGATTTCACTGAGCATGTTGTTGTTAGATTTCTTTAGTCTTTATATAATACAGTAGATGATAGAAACAAACAAATAAGCTAAGTTTGAACAAATATCTAGAATGAATTTGTTGTGTTCAAGACAAACCAACAAATCCACTTTCCTCTCTAATTTCCTTTGTATTTTCTTTCCGTAGTTCTCTATGAGTTCCAAACTAACACTTGAATTGTTAAGGGTCCGTTTGGTATACGGAATTGACGGAATTGGAATTGAATTGGAATTGAAATTTCATGGGATTCAATTCCATAGAATTGAATTCTGCCAATTCCAATTCATTTTTTGCACTACCAATTCCAAATCCACATAATTTTTGTGCTACACTGCTACCAAACACCAGAATTGGAATTGATGTCCTTAATTCCAATTCCATAATTTGAATTCCATGTACCAAACGGGGCCTAAGTCTCTGGTTTTACTGCATATATCTTCATTTTATATTTCTGAAATTTATCATCCTACAGGTATGCAAAAGGTATACCAGAGCTTATATTCATTCCCTTGTCACAAAAGATGCAATGGGTTCTCAGCTGTTGTCATATCATAATCTATATTACATGATGAAGGTATCTACTATCTATCCATGCAACAAGAGTTTTTCCTTCTACATTTATGATTATTGCATATTTGAACTCATACCATGCAATATTTTAACCGTGCAGCTTAGCAGAGATTTACACTCGTCAATTGTTGAAGGACGGTTTCCAGAGTATGCTACCTTTAACTCTACATATCTCTGGCTTGTGTAGTTTGATTAATCTCAAAAAATAATGCACTGTACTTTTTTTGCAGTTATGTATGTCAGTTCCTGCAGAAAATGGTAATCACTCATACACAACTCTTTGTACTTATCTTATGGTAATCACTCCTAGAAATTGCCACAGAACTCCTTCCCTTCATAAGGAAAATACCCCACATTCATTCATTTAGTAATCTTCAGGTGATGAATATCAGGGTAATATTAACAAATTTTACCAAAAATCATACCACGCAATATCAAGCATTTGTGATTTGTCTACAGCACCGGTTCTAGCCTTTTTTGGGGTCCTATATGTTTGCCTATTGCATGGTTTCAGCCTTTTCGGGGCCCTTTATGTTTGCCTGCAGAAGCATCGATCACACTCCCTTTGTCCCAATATGTTTTTCTGTTTTTTTTCTTTCATTTTTCCCATCCCAAAATTGTGGCACATGTCCTATTTGGTTATATTTGAGTAGTTCAAAAGCATTCACACTTTACATATTTGATATTAACCACAATACTTTTCCTTAATTTGTGTGTCACTTTCCCTTGTTCCAAACTTACACTGTTTAGTTCAAGGAATTTGAGAGAGCATTTTTTTATGTTTGGTTGGAGAGGAAAAGAAAAGAAAAATGGTAGGAAAAGAAAATGAGAAGCAAACTAAAAACTAAGAAGAGAGAACCATTTTCCTTTCCTTACAATTCGTATGAAAGTGTGACTTCAGTAACACGTAGACTGGTGGTCTCCTTGTTGTCTGGATTTGATATATATGTATAAAGAGAATCAATCTTTCGTCTCTCACCTCACTGAATATCTAATTGTTAACTAGCTAGATTGGAAATAATGTTTTTGTTCCTTCATAAAATTATTCAAGTTCTGATAATGTTGTTGGCCTGTAGTTCCCGGAGGGAGATGTTCCTGAATGGGTTTGCAATGCCATGGAGGTTGCGGGAATCGATATCTCTTCCTGCTATAATCCATGTTCTTCATCATCATGTGAAACCAGGTCTGCCCAGAATGATCTGCAGAGCAAGAAACTCTAAGACACATTAAGAAGGTTCGGTTTTTGCTTTTCGTCTTCGTTTTTGCATAGAGTTTGACACTAGTAACAAAGTCTGATCAGTTTTGGCATAGGGAAGATATATAGTACGGGGCACTAATTTTTGCACCTTAGGGAAAATCATTATTTAACAAAGTTATACACCTCCACTCGTCCCATCCGAGAAACGAAAAAGAAACAAAATTTTGGGACAATTTTGATCCTTAATTCATAGGAGTCCATTTTATACTCTTCCATGTATTAAGACAGGATTTTATGTTTTATTGTACTCTTGACTTTAATTCCATTTCTGTGGCAAGAAGAGGATTCCTAATGTCTTCGTACCATGCTTGTGTACTGTTCCATCTATAGCAGTTTTACTTTGTCACTGTGGAAGATATGTTTCTCTACCAATGTCTGTGTGTGTACTAAGGTCAAACTGTGAATTGTTATTATTCCAAAAAAAAGGCGGACCATTAGATAAAGAAATATTCGTACTAAATAACACAAAAACTTAAGTCATTTTCTTAAACAGTACTTAAATTGTTTTATTCTCTAAATAACACTTAATAATGTCCAGAAGTAGAAATAATGTCAACTGATGGCGAATATTTACTTGAATAATGACTAATGTATAATGACTAAAAATGCTACATTGAGAAAAAACGCAAATGATGTTATTTAAGAAAAGTCATTATGTTTTAATGTTATTTAAGTAAATTCTCTAGTTTCTGTTTGGGTGAGAGAGTTAGGTGGGTTGAGGAGGAAAGCTGAGAAACTTATGAACTAATTTCAAAACTTGGGGTTGGCTTTGGTTGTGGTAGTTTTTCATTTCAAGTTGACATATTTGTAACTTTTTCGTCCCATTGAAGTTATTTGTCTTGTTTGTTTTTTAGTTGAATTAGATAAGTTTTCATTATTAATTAATCAAAGTTGTGTTATGCAATAGATTACTCCTTTTGTTCCAAATTAAATTGTCTGTTTGCTATTCATAGGATAAGATTTTGCTCACTTTCTTTCTCTATTTTTATTACTCATTTGATAAAATAATATAGTTATGTGGCCACTAGTTTTATAGATTTGGTCTAGTTTTTAAATATGTAATTTTTATTTTTAAAATTTACACTATTTTTCATAAAAATGATTTCAAAATAGGTTCAGTTGAACATCATAAATTGAAACAGATAATTTAAATTGGGGTGGGGAAAGCATTATTTTTTCAAGTTTTTTGTAAGGTAATTTTTATGGACTTATTTTTTGCATTAATATGTAGTGGCGTAATTCTTTTTAAATTACTCCTTGTATTGGAAAGCTTACAATTGTTTTTTTGGTACAATTAAAAATTTTCTATATGGGAAGACACATATTTCTTAATTTAATGTGATATAACAAAGAAATACAGTAAAAAAGAAATACTCTCATCTCCAAAATATAACCCACCTTGTTACGGAGTAATTCGAATGGAAAACGTAAGTGATGGATGGAACAATCAATAATTAAGGTACAATCAATCAATCAAAGAATGGATTAGTCTCGTAATTAACGACCATTGAGGCAGGAGTAATGTTTTGTCTCAATTTGCATTGGCCGCACTTTATGGTGTCACTCAAATAAAGCAAATACGTGTTCGCATCCACATACCATACCAACCTTTGAGATTTTTTTTGCTACAAATACTTTTATTTATTAAAAAAATGAATATGAGAAAACATTCCGAATTAGAGACAACTGTATTGAGAAAAAATTATGTTAAATATAATATTTCTGTAAGTATCAAATGCAAGCTTCATTCCTTGCCAGTTAGTCTGAGATTAAAAATTAATATACTCTCTCTATTCTAAAATGTTTTTCCAGTTACTATTTACATGATCAAATTTTAATTATTTTTTTTACCTATTTTCGTTAGAAATTATATAGTTTCCGATCTATCTATCATCCACGGATGGAACTAGTAACAAAGAAAACGAAGTAAATGAGTCGTCTTTTGGTCTTTGCTTTAGAAATACAAGTCTCATATTGTCATTGTTAAAATCCAAACTTAGGACTTGATTGGGGCAACCCCTAAGCTTCATAGAAAGGCACTGCATACAAAGGCACTTGTTTATCTCTACTTCCAGAATATTTGTCAAATTCTAACTTTTTGTAGTTAACAAGAACAACAACAGATGTATTTTAAAAATATTTTTTCATCTAATTAATATATCATATGTAATTTTTATATTAATAATAGACTAAAATTTGATCTTAGGTGACTGCAAAAAATAAAAATTGGACATATACTTTGGAACATGAAAAACAATTTTCATCTGATCAATACTCATGTACTACGTAAATTTTTTGCACAAGACCTTTTTATAAAAATAAATTACATTAAAAAATTATTACTGTATTTTCTTTTAATGGTGTGAAAGTCTAAATTTTTGAAGAGCCATTAAAATATCAATACTCCATCCGTATCTTAATTTAGTTTCCACTATCCACTTTGATTTTTAGAATCTCTTCTTCCAAATTATGATTATTTCTTTTGAAAATTAAGTGTTCCAAACAAAACTTCGTACATGCATAAATTTTAAACAAATAATCTTAATTTTTCTTTAGATTAATAAAACACAAACATAAGTTAACCAAACGAGGGAGTGTGTAATAATTAAGAATTTATTAGGCAATAGCTTTAGCATTTTGAAAAGTATAATAATAATGTGCAGTTTTATGATTTTTAAAATTAATTTACATTTTAAAAAAATTTATTCGAAGTGTTTGAACTGAAAGAAGTTCATTTAAACACCAAACCACAAGAGAATATTACTACGAGCAACACAAATTACAAGTAATTATTTAAAATTTTAAGGCTAATATAATTAAAAAGATTTTTTCGAAAACAAGGCCTAATTTTACGATGTACTTTTGCCTTTGCCCTTTCTACTGATTTTCAAGGGACTCCTGTCACAATAGTCATCAATTGAATTATTTAATTATTGTTTTTCGATAAGTCGGAAAGGAATATTATTCCATTAATTAAATAAAATAAAACCTGAAAAGCGAAAAAAAATCGTAGCTTTTGTCAACCGTTAGGTGAAATAATGGTTGTCTTGAAGAAAAAGAACTGTTTTTTTCACTAAAAAAAGGAGTTGCAAATTAAATAGTCATAAAATTTACCAACATATATACTACTACGTATTTGTGAATGTAAAAAAAACAAAGTAAATTTAAATATTTAAAAATTTAAAAATATCTAATTATTTTATTTAATTGAAATATTTAACCTTTAATATTTATTTTCAAAATATTAAATATTCTATTTAATGAAAATATTGTTGTAATTTTCTTCTCTATATTCATATTTCTAAATAATTCATATATGTACTTCTTCTGTCCCAATGTATTTATCCAGTTTAATTTTTCGAGTCAAACTAGACAAACATTGAATTAAAATTAAATAAAAACGGTAATTTATTTTAACATAAAAATGAATTTATTAGATTTATCGAATTGAAAATTTTCAAAATTTTATTTTATTATACTAACATATAATACAAATTAAGAACAATTTATAATGAAAATATGAACGAGGATGGAGTATTATTGGAGATGAGATTCTTCCGGTAGCGTAAAAAAACAAAACAAAGTACTCCTAAGCTACTACTAATCATGTTTTTCTTCCCTTCCCCAGTGTCATTATATTGTTCATTCCGTTCCAGTACCTGATTGGTTAATGATAGCATTCCCTTTTCCCATTGATTTGTCAAAGAAAAAAATAAAGATGAACCCAAACCAGGGTCTTCAAAACCGGCCACGATAGTGGTTTTGATTTTAGAACTGTCAAAAGGATTGAAATTTTTACTCCAAACCGGAGTATTAGTTGGTGCAAGATAAGACTTACTTCTTTTTGACAAATAAACAAGGAAAAAAAAATCTTACAAAATAAGAGATGATAAAAATATTTTTTATAAAATAAACAATGAGAATATATAAATAAACAAAAGATATCGTGATTTTGGAGTAATGTACATTGTAATCATTTGCAAGAGGAAAAAAGACTAAAGTATGAGTAAAACATTGAAAATATACTAAAATATGACTTTCATGTTTTTATTCTCGAAATAGGAGTAAAAAAACATTTACATTAACAAACATGATCATGTACATTACCAAAAGTATAGTAATGTGCACATGTATAGTGCCACATTACTACAGTGCAAAGTCCTATTTCGGAAATAAAAACCTGAAAGTTCTATTTTGATACTTTTTTCTATGTTTTAGTCCTATTTAGGGTGATTTCTATTTGTGAAGTATATTTTATTTGACTTTCTTGGTCAAATTTGTAAAAGTATACATTGATATGCGAAAAAAATACATAGTATTATTATTTGGTGGCACTGTACATGAGCATTTTACTATATTTTTTGGTAATGTACATGGTCATTGGACATTGATGGTGTAAATTCACCACCCGAAAAAACTGCTCCATACCGGGTCTAGGGTGCTTTGCAAAACTGTGATACTGAAGACACACAAAAGCTAGAGATTGACTGGGAGGACTGTAAAAGGGAAGACTTGTAGTCCGATTATTATTAAGTATGCGAAGATTACAGAGAGGATTTGCACAATACACTTTAAAGAGAGGAAATTGTGACCCCTTCTACTAAGGGTTATAGATCTAGCTATTTATAGTAAAGCTAGGGGACAGGCTGGCATGCGCCCATGTCTAGCCACGTGACACTGTGCAGGTCCTGATGCATCTTTGTCTTTTAGTGTTTTTCCTTTCTCCCTTGTAGTTTTCCCCTTGTAACTGTCCCTATTTGGCGCGTAGTGCTTGGGTGGGAATACCTAGATAGACCCGTTGGTGCAGAGGAATCTTTCCTGACCAAGTGGCTCCCAAAGAACTACTGTCCAACTGCGTTGAGCTATCAATACACACGCTAGAACAAGTCATGGAAATCCACTTGGGTGGTTTTCTGAAGGGACATCCAGATCATTTAAGGATCTTTTCTACAGTGCCATGCTACGTGACCGATCACCTGAAAGTCACCCGGGTGGTCTGCATCGAGGACCCAGTCATGTACAGATCCATCCAAGCTACCTGGTTGCATATTATTCGGGATTCACCCAGTTGCTCCTGGTTCGACTCGACCTGGGTCGAGGCTTGGGTGGAATACACCCATCACCTGGTAAATACGATTGGATTGCCGCACTGGGTTTGTTGTCGTCGTACAAGGTTGGAATCCGACCAGGTGGGTTTTGGTCCAAAGCTACTTGGGTGATCTCTCGAAGGCATACCATGTTTTCCACTTGGTCACGTATGTTACACCTGGGTAGTCTTCGAGACACTCCGACCGGGTCACTTTACTCTCCCTGCTAAAGCTACGTCGAGTAGGTGCATGGGACCCAACTTAGCAAGGTTACCTCTGCACGGCTAGGCTCGAGTAAACTCTGAAGATCAGGCTAGCGACATGATGAATCGTCTCGGGTTTACCTGGTCACGGATCCCGGGTAGGCCTTATGATACTTTGACCGGGTCCATTTCTCACGTCTTCTTTACTAACGTTTGCGTTTTGGATAAAATTTAATGACATAAATTACCTCTGAAAATGTTAACACGAAAATCGATCGGTTAATAGTTTTTTCAAAACGTGAACGCTAATTTCTGACGCTGATGCATCTAAGTTATCCCTAGACGGGGCTGTACTCTTTTTTTATTTTTTATTTTTCTTCTAGCTACACACTGTACTCTTTTCTCACACACACTCTCTCTCTATATATAGCCCCCCATTTCACTGTCACCCAAACCATACCTTTTAGCTTTCATTAGTGGATCATTGTATTCTTCTTTTTTCTCTTTTAAAGCATATGAAGAGGTTCGGTTTCTGTGATTCCTCCCCTGTCCCCTTGCTTTTCCTACACCAATCCCAATCCCATTCAGGTAATTAATTAATATTTTATTTATGCTTACACAATCTTTTAATTGAATTGGTTTCTTGACATAATTTGAGAGTTTAATAAATGAGTCTGAGTAAATATATCTTTTCCCCGGATGATGATTGGGCGGTGCAGAGGGGGAGATGATGGTGTACGGCGGCAGCGGATGCCAGGCAACGTTGGAGGGAGTGGAGGAGGAGGAGGACATGGCGGCGGCGGCGGCGGGGGAGGGGAAGAAGAGGAGGCTGAGGGCGGAGCAGGTAGGTGCGCTGGAGAGGGTGTTCGAGGAGGAGAGCCGGCTCGAACCGGAGAGGAAGGTGAAGATAGCAGGGGAGTTGGGGCTGGAGCCGAGACAGGTGGCGATTTGGTTCCAGAACCGGCGAGCCCGGTTCAAGACGAAGCAGCTGGAGAGGGATTTCAACCTCCTCAAGTCCGATTACGACTCCCTTCACCTCCGCTTCAGCAAACTCCAACATCAAAGGGATGCCCTTCTTTCCCAGGTACGTACATACGTCGTACGTGTCCCCCGGCCCCCTTCTCATTTCAATTCAACAGTTTTAAAGAATTGTTGCCATTATTATCTTTCAGCTAAAAGGGCTAAAAGAGAAGCTTCTTGTCATGGAAGAGAAGGGTAGAGGAGGAGGAGAAGGGTCACCAGAGAGCGACTCGAGTGGCGGCGGAGTGTCGAACAGCGAATTGGTATTAGATTACAGCGGCTTCAACTTGCAGCAGCCATTAATGGCGGCGGCGGAGGCTGCAAGAAGCTCTGCAATTTACGTGGAGCAGCAGCAGCCGGAGTATGTGAAGATGGAGGAGGCAGAGCAGCAAATGGTGGGTGGTGGTGAGGAATGTTGCAATAATAATAATAATCTATTCTCGTTGGATGATGATGATGATGATGATCACCCTCCTAACCTTTATTGGTATTGCCCTACTGCTGATTATTACAGATACCAGTAGCTAGCTAGCTAGATCACAATATATTTGACATACTACTACTACTGTTGTTGTTATAAACATATATAATTACCCATCATTGAGTATTATTGTAACTTTACTATTCTTGGATCATCTAAATTGATCTTCACAAGTTGACTTGCTACGATCATGAAGTAAAATCGTATGGTTCTCTTCAGTCTAGAACTCCCAGGTGAACAATATTGACTCCAAAAAAATTTTTCTCAATGTAATTTTTAAATATATAATATTTTTATGAATGGTAAACAAATAAGATTAACTAATGTTGGAATTTTGGCTCTTTAAGAGACAACTTCGTACATAAACTTGATGGACCCTACAAAATTATTTTTTCAAAATAATTATACACAATTAATCTTTGAAGCGAGACAAGTGTTTCCATATATTGTGCGACAAAATAATGCTTGATTGGAAGAAAAATTAACTCATAAAGTCGGACTCTTGGAAGAAGTAAAGACTCATGTATCCTACATCAAATTTGAGGCCTTTCATCTTCCATCAATTTTACGTTAGTGTTGAATTACATTGTAAAGCAATTTGAGGAAGAAAGAAAGGACCCCACGCGCTTTGCCACTGTCTTTTCCGGCTCGGCACGACACACGTGCGCGTTGGCCTGTGGCGTGGGCATGCGTCGCATCATAGCGAGGGTGTGAGCCAACTCCTATCTTTTTGCGGGACCGAATCGAACACGTATGAGCACTTCGTTAATGACGAAATGTTGTAAAAGCGTGCATGACTCTTGAGGAGAACTGTGTGACTCCTCATGCTGTCAGCCATGTCCAACCGAAGGATCAAGTCTGCTTAGACTGCTCCTATATAAGGATAGCTTGGCTGCAGAATAGAACACGCTTTAACACTTGAATACTTTCTCTAATTTCCAACTCTCTCTCCGTTCAATCATCTTCTTCGGCGAGTAACTCTACTTTATTCATGTTCGTTGGTGCATCGTTCTATAGCTCTAGACTTCGCACGTTGCAATTTTATCTTGGGATGAGATGGTTCATGTTGTCAGTGCGGGAGGCGGGTGATACTACTATAAGAAAAATTTGGCGACTCCGGTTTCCTTAGACATCCTTGCAGGTTTCCTCAAACCTGCTGACGCTTTATGCGCTCTGGGTCTGTTCATCTCCCGATCTCTGAAGTCAAATTTTCTTTACTTTATTTTTTAAATTGTAAATTTGAACGATTTATAATAAGTTCGGATGTTATTTTTACTTTATTTTCGGGTGTATTATATTTAACAAAATGTCAACATTAGTAGAGCAATTCTCACACCTCCTCACCTGATCACTACTAATGTAATAATTTGTATAATTTCAATTCTCTTCATTTTAAACAAAACTTAATCGAGCCCTTTTACACACTCACCAGTCACGAAAGCATCAAAGTAAAACGTTTACCTGTTTAAAAAAAACCAATGAAATTTAAGTTTATTGGCTTGTGTAGCCCATGTGGTAGGTGGGAGCAGACTGACAGTTTGGAACCGACCATTTTATTGACATTGCATGAGCCGCAATTCTAGTCTTCTTCGCCAGGATTCGTTGACTCGGAGACATATTTCTACTTCATTCCTTCCAAAAGTATCCTTTCACTCTAAATACATAAAATTCTACAAAAATGTTAAGGATACACCAAAGATGTATCTCATTTGTCCTTCACCCTCTCCTTCATTACATTAATGATAAATAGGCAAAAAATTTAAAAATAAATAAATAATTAAAAATCAAATAAAAATGTGTGGTGGCAAAAAGGGTATGTGACAAATGAGGCACAACTTTGATAACCCCTAGCATTGCTCAAAATTCTACCATCTATTTTTAAAAGAATTAACTTAGGGCTACACCAACATGAGATACCTCATTTATATACCAAGTTAACACAGATACACACAGACACCAAATGTCTGTGCAGTGTTAGCTTCTTGTACAAATGGAGTACTCCATGTTGGTGTACCCCTAGCATTGTCTATTTTAAAAATATTTTACTCCCTTTTTTCTTAAATGAATTATACTTTAAGCAAAATAAAGTAAAATTTCAAATTTTTTAAATTTATTTTATTTAAATATTGGTATAGAATTAAAAAATAAAATTTACATATTTAGAAAATACATCAAAAGTTATACGAAATAAGAGGTTACAAGAATATTATATTTTATCAAATAATCAATCAAAACAAACAAATAAAAAAAGTTCTCGTGATTTTTGAATAGTAAAAAGTGTAAAACATTGTGGGACGGAAGGATTATTTTATTGAAATTAAATGTATAAATTATTTATTTAAAAATACATTAAAAGTTCTATGGAATTTTAAATAGGATGTGATAAAAACATTTTATTTTAAATGGAATTCATATTAAATTATCAATGAAAGAATATAAATAAATAAAGTTCTACATTCAGAAATAACTTATGTTTTAAATGAAATTCATTTAAATAGAATTCATTTAAACATTTTATTTTAAATGGAATTCATTTTATTTAATTAAATGAAATTTATATTAAATTACCATTGATCATTATCTATTAATCATTATTCAACTAAATATTTATCATCACTTGGATATTATTTTTCTCACTAGTCATTATTAAATTTTATTTAGAAAATAAAAAAAGTTAAGTCCTACATTCAAAAGTAACTTATGCTTTAGTCTTGTTCAGCACAAATCTCAGATCTTATATTCTTGAGTAAATTACACATATAGGACCAAAAGAGGACCCTTTTCCGTTTTAGGAGCAGTCCTATTTTTGTCCACGTGGGTTATAGTTAAAAGACTGCTATGCCCTCCAATTTAGACTTTTAATGAAAATTAAACAAAAAAGGAGATATATGCTGATTTACTGATTTACGGAGAAGCGCGAAAGCGTAGCCGCAGCATCCGCCGTAGGTGATACCAACACGAGTTTCCAAATGGGTCTCGACTTCTCCTGCATGCCTATTTGTGTGGGTATTGTATAATAGATCTAGGATTCCGTCAATCGGGGATTAGGGCGTTATCATACTGAAATTGAATTGAGGAGGAGACATGACGACGAGGAGCAGTGCAGTGAAGAAAATGGCGAACAGAGAACTGGTAGATGACGATGATGATTTCGTTGACAAGATTCCAATAATTAAGACCATGAATTTAGTGAAGACAACCTCAGGGCGAGTAAGTTCTTTTATTGTGGTTCTTAACTTTTTTTATTTACTTATAATCCCTGAAATGAGGTGTAAGTTTGTCGACGTTGCATATGTCTTGTTTGTGAAAATGTCTGTAATTATTTATGTACTTTAGCATCATTTGAGTCTTTGTGAAGAAATTTGGTATGGACTGGAATTTAAAGACTTTGTGGTTGTGAAGAAATTGGTTATGTACTTAAGCATCCTGTGAGATTCATGGTTGTGTAATTGAAATGAGTTGGTCTGAAATTAGTTATTTACCCTACTTGTCTGGTGAATGTAGTGTTTGAAGTTTTTTTTTGTTTGGCAGGGATAGGTTTTGTAGGGGTTTGGTAGTGAGTAAGGTTTTTTTTGTTGTAGTGACCAAATTTTGCCTGAAAATAGGTTTAAAGACTTTACACTGGTTGTAATAATTTTTTTCTCCTTTTACGGTTTTAGAAGATGATTTTGAAGTCTTTATTTAGAGTTAATGACTTATAAGAGTTATGACTTATTTATCATTGAGTAAGGTGGAGAGGTTTTCAAAAGGTGATTTTATTGATTTTGTATTGTTTGTAGTGACCAGAGATGGGCTTGATATTATGTTTAAAGACTTGTCTCTGGTCTGATTTAAGATTAATGACTTTTTATAAGTTGTATTTTAAAGACTTTGTACTGGTCTGTAAAAATGTTGAAATGGGGATACTGAACTTAAAGACTTTGATGTTTCCAATGGTTAGGAATTTAATAGGTCATTAAGGGTTTGGGTTTTAAAATGATAAATGTAATGCCTGGTATATGCTTTGACGTTGGACTTTTGCTACAGGTGTACAAAAGGTTGTGTGATGAAGAGGTTTTGGTCGGGAAGGCAAAGCTTAAGGTGACTTGCTTTTGTAATGTGTGGGTTGGTGCAAAAAGTATTCGAGATGTGGTCAGTGCTTCAGATATGGCTGAATTGAAGTTATCTACATTTTCATTTTTTCTTCAAGCTTGGGGGAATTAAATGGGTGAATGGTCAGCTGTTGATTTTATTAGCATTAAATCATGTGGAACCCATTAAGGGGAGTGGAGATGTAGATAGAATTAAGTTTCACATTGGAGATAGAATTGTGGAGTTTAAGAAATCTGATTTTGCGTTGATTACGGGGTTGAAGTTTGGAAAGGAGGCTGAGTATGGTGATACTGACCTGGAAAAGGCAAACGACATAAGTTCAAGGTATTTCAATGGGAAAATGAGCGTGACCCGTATACAAGTGGAGAATGTGTTCAACAGTGTCAAGAACAGCAGAGGTAGAGAACGGTTGGATGCTATTAAATTGGCTTTACTGAACTTCCTTGTGAATTATGTGGTGGGTAACCAGGGTTTGACAAAAATCCCAGCGCTGTACATGCATCTTGTTGATGACCTGAGACGTTTCAATGGATTTCAGTGGGGAGAGCATCTGTGGAATGACATGGTGGAAAGCTTACGAAAATGTTCGTCAATTCTCAACACGGGAGAACATTGCCGTTTTACATTTCCAGGCTTCTTATTCCCACTGCAGATTTGGGCGTTTGAGACATTCCCTTCTTTGCGTGAGAATGGAATATGCATTGTGGGACAGAAGAGGAGCAGTTTGTGGCCTAGGGCATTACGCTGGGAGACAGACACCCCATTTCTTGCATTGATGAAGACATTATGTGGGAGGTATATGAATAAGGAACTTACAATTGAGCAAGCAACGCGTAATAAGTCAGTAAGAAGTACGATCATGGGAGGAAGGATGGAATATGGTCGTCCGTGGCAGAGCGTAGATTTTGTATACATGCCGCTGAATACTGGGAACCATTGGACATTGTTGGTGCTGGACATTAAAAAGAAGTTAATCAGAACGTATGACTCGAGCAGGAGGAGAAACGATTCAAATAGAAAGCTGCAGCCCTTTCTGCCCTGCCTCCAAATGTTCCTTCCTAAGATAATGGATAAGTTGGGCGTGTATGACGGACGGGAGGAAGGTCCACTGGGAGATGAAGTGTTGGCGGTTGAAGCTGGATCATGCTGCCCCCAGCAAGCCGACGGGTACGTTATATTTTGGTCTGTGTAATGTTATATGCAATGCGTGTATAATAATTTTTTTTGGTTGACGTCATGCACTGGGGCATTATGTATTTTTTAATATGGGTCTACATTTTACTGACTATGAATGACGTCGTAAGTCCCTTTATAATCATTGTTAAATACTGCTAAACTTTGCTTTCTGTTAATGCCTTTCTCTTATTATGTCCATATCAGGGCATTATGTTCCATTACGTATCAAAGCTTAGCTCTTTACACACTATCTATCACATTTTTTTTACTGTATACGAATGACATAATGAGGACATTGCACTGTTAATGACTTTAGATATTTAGCTTTAAATTCTAACTAACGCCCTCACTAGGACATTGTGCTATTTTACGTTATTACCAACGTCCTAATCAGGACATTATGTTAAGGACATTATGCTTGTTAACTGACTAAGAATAACATATTGAGGACATTATGCCCTGTAGGTCAAGTTGTGGGATGTTCGTGGTGAAGATGGCTGAGTTTCTGATGATGGGGTGCGATGTGGGCGATATGGATGATCATAAAATTGCTGCCTACAGGAAGAAGATGACGGTGGAGTTGTTAGCATACTCTGCCGTCTAATGTTATTGAATCTGTGGTGCTTGAAAATAATGCCCTAGTCGATGATCTGTTTTTTTGATAATATGCATGTAGTATCCATGGTTGTGGTGTTTGTGTGCCACGCACATTATGAATGCATTTAATAGTTGTGTTGAATTATTTTAGTATTGTTCTTTACATTTATTTACATATTATTATCTAGATAGATCGGGAAACAAGTAGAGGGGGTGGACTTTGCTTCCCCCGTAAGTAATAAAAACATGGCGTGAATGTTGAGAAATGGTTATTCTGGACATTAACGACCTAATGTTGAATGTTGTTTTTTTAAATTCATAATATGACTTGATAATGGATATGGTAGTGGATAACGTACATTTTTTTGGGTGACATGAGCTTGAGTAAATACAAATTGAAAATGAGGAGTAATCAATCATTTGGAGAATTAAGAAATGGTTACAGTTATGGAGGAAGTCATTATGCTTAAATGTTATGTAAACAAATTTTTTGTAATTGAGAGGATGAAATGATAAAAGAGAGGTATATAAATGACAATAATGATATTAAATGTATGTGTTCAATGTAACGGTAAAACCAGACTAAACAAACCCATGAATCAACAAAAAAATTGTCTTGATAACGTCTTGATATGGAGTCAAGCTCGACTCAAAGAAATGGGATTAGTGCACGTCTTCCTATTGTGACCCTGAGATTTGCATCGTGAACAAGACTGTTGCTTAGCATGCTCACCTTTGGACGGGATCTTTCGCTTCTTGGGCCTTCCAGGAGGACGTTTATCGCATGATGGTGGGAGGCAAACAACTTGTGTGACCTCGTCAGGCAGAACCCAAGATTCTTTAGATGGGATGGGGTGTATGATGCCTGAATATGTAGCTCTCCATGCAGTAGTGGTGTAAAAGGATGAGACGTAATCATAGCAAGACAAACCGCTCCGACAACGCGTTGCAGCGACCGCATGAACACACACAAAATGGTCCAGCTGGAATTCACAGCAAGTGCACGTCCTGTTTTGAAAGTTCACTACAAATGAACGACCATTCTTGTCAATGACAAGGAACTCGAATGAACAAGCTGGCCTAACCTGAAAAACCAAAGCAACACCGTTTTGGGCATAGTGAATGATTGAGTTAGACTTTTAAGAGATGTGGTAAAAATAAAGAAAATTGAATGAGTACAGACCTAAAAGCATTTATAATAATAATAGCTTATGATATAAATTAAACTTACTTCCATAACAGCTGAGGCGGAATGTAGTTCATTTAGCTCCGACTCGTAGAACTTTGTTAAAGTAGATGACGTTGAGTTTGCTAAATCCCTACGCTCGTGAAACCACCTTTGAGTCCTTCCAATTAGAAAATCAACAAGTTGTGAAATTGGGTATTCACGGGGGACAGCATCAACATTGTTCATGGACTCTGCAAGGTTAGAGGTCATTATAGAATAACGTTGATTCGAGCATGATCTGGCCCACTTCTCTTTCCCGATAGATTTAAGGTAACCAATGATCCTGGGGTCATCTTTGTCCAAATATTTCAAATATCGGTCGCACTCTACTTCGGAAGCTGCCCTTGCAGCACCATAAAACTTCCAAGATAAGGACTTTTCAGATCCATGGAAATTAGACTTGATGTTTCCAAATATGTGGAATATGCAATGGCCATGGCCCACCTTAGGGTAAACAGATTTAACTGCCTTGATAATTCCATCATGCCTGTCTGAGACAATATATTCCACAGGACGGTGCTTGAGGGCTTGCTTAACTCTTGACAGAAACCAACGCCAATTTGCATCGTTCTCGGCATCACATACACCAAAAGCTAGTGGGAATATTTGGTTATTCCCATCCCGTGTAACGGCAGTTAAAAGTGTCCCTTTGTAATATGACTTCATAAATGACCCATCAATAATTAGCACTGGAACACAATGGGGCCACCCTTCTCTCCAAGGTGCAAGAGATATGAATAAGTACTTGAACAAGTGGTCATGCGTAGTAGTGAGTTTGATCATAGAACCAGGATTAGCTTTTTTCAGCATAAAACACATGGATGGCAAAGAAGCATAAGAATCTTGTACTGTCCCAAAACAAATTTCCAGGGCCTTCTCCTTTGCAAACCACGCCTTCTTATAACTCATTGCAATTCCGTGTTCCCTACGCATGTCGCTGAGAATAGAATTGGGGGGGTACGGCTTTGTTGTTGCATCACAAAATTTGTGTTTTACAAGCTCAGCAACAATGTGATACGTAGCTTGACGTGTTGTGCCTTTTCGAGCATCAATAGGGCATTGATGTTCACGGTTGTACCTGTCAAAAAAACATATGAACAATACTAGTAAGTTTTAAAATATGTTTGGTTAAGGACAGATATTAGTATGTAAATAGGTGAGGTTTGGTGCCTAAGAGAGCATAATGTCCTGATTAGGACGTTGTTTGAAATTAAAGCTTAACACATAATGTCCTTAACAGGGCATAATGTCCTCATTATGTTATTCCTATTCACTTTAAAAGCATAATGTCCTTAACATAATGTCCTGCTCAGGACATAGTAAGAACGTAAGAGAGCATAATGTCCTAGTGAGGACGTTAGTAAGAATGTCATTAACAGGGCATAATGCCCTCATTTTGTTATTCTTAGTCAGTAAAAAAACTAAAGTGTGATAGATAGGGGAGGATACAGTAGTGAATAGTGTGTAAAGAGCTAAGCTTTGATACATAATGGAGCATAATGTCCTGATTTGGACATAATGAGAGAAAGGCATTAACAGATATGAATGTGTAGCAGTCTTTAACAATGATTGTAAAGGGACTTACGACGTCATTCATAGTAAGTAAAATGTAGAGCTTCTAAGGTAACAGAGCGTAATGTCCTGATAGAAATGTAATGTGATTAAGACGATATGAGTTTAAGGCATTAAGTTATGGCATTTTTCCAAGCAGTAACAGGAAGTTGATAGGGGCCTGCATAATGTCCTCATTAACTAGAATTGGATACGGATGTACAATGACATTCTTAGTAAATAGAAAGCTAAAGTGTGTTAAATAAAGGATGCTAATGACATGATTATGGAGTGATCTGATTACGGAATAATCTGATTAAGGCATTAACATTGTGCATAGTTTTCAGTCATTAAAAAGGATTGGAAACGGACTAGGAACGTAATGCTTAGGCAGTAAAAGCTAAAGTTTGTTACATATGATACGAGTGAGGGTCTTAACAAGCATGCATTGTGTAAGGTGTGGAAATGTACAAGACGCCATTAATAAGTGGAAATCAATACGCATCAAATTAACATTACTGAAGAACATTGCAAAGACATTAAAAAAGGCTGGGAACGCACCTACGGATCTGGAACATCTCAACGCTTGGTAAACGCACTGCCCGAACAGCCCATGTGCAACGAGGAAAATCCACACAGACAACATGAAGACACGATTTTTTAGAGGTACGAATCCGGTACTGGAACTGGTTAGAGATTGCTAACATCTTCAAATGGATGTCAAGGTCCTTTTTGCTGGCATAAATGGCATCAACAACAATTCTAGTTGGATCGAACCGAGATGTAACGTGCATTTCCTTCATTGTTGCAATCTCCTGCTGAGACATTCTATAAGAAGACGGGTTGGATTGAAGATAGTTATTGCAGTCAAGCTCGCTGGTTTGGACATTATTCTCAGGTATTTCATCTCCCCGAAATGTTTCGAATACCAAGCCAGGGGAAAATCGCTGGATTGGTATATCGTCTTCATCCAAAGTGCACATTCTTCGGTTTTCTTCTAAATCAGAGAGAGAGGCGTCTGATTCTGTAACTCCGCAGTCGCTTGAATTTGAGATGGAATGAAGACAAAGGAGAGGCTGATGTAACTCCGAAAGGACTAAACCTCCTCCAGAAACGATAGATGCTGAAAAATTAGTTAATTCAACACACAAGGGAAAATCGCGTACCCCACAGTGAATGCTCTTCAACCGAATGTATGCGTAAAGGCTCGTATCATCGTCGATCACAACATGACTTGAACATGAATCAGAGACGTGCGAAATCTTAAAAACAGACTTTTCATAGGATGATGGGACAGTATTACGAATCACCTGTATCAAGTCAGTGAATGATGCGTGATGCGGAATCTGAATCTCATATGCGTATGTGTAGGAGAATACGCCATGAATGTCCCATTTGCCGTCGAATTGGAGCAGAGAATGGATGGCAGCCGGTGTGGAGAAATCTGGGACAATGCTAGATACAGAGGCCAGCAATGAAGAGAACATGTTGTTGCGCTACTTGGATGGGCGGAAGAATTTGGTACTGGCCGGAAGAAATGTAGGAGACGGAAACCTAAATCCATGGGGAGTTATAGAACTGGAGCGTAAATGAAGGGATAAGGGCTAGAAAGTGGGGGAAATTATTAATAGTTATCCTGTAAATATGCCAAGGAAATTAAAAAAAACAAAAAGAAAAAAACCTGCATTTTCGATCCAGGAGAGTAAAACCGGATACACGCCCAAAAGTAACTCCTATCTAAGAGAAAAAAAGCTACAAGTCCTATTTAGGGAAAACACATATGTTTGGGTCCTATACGGAACAAATTTTACTATATTCTTATCCAACCTCATCAGGTGTTTCTATCATCTCTCAAGAGTGAAACGGGAATGGCGTCCACTCTTCCATCTTCCGTTCTTTCTCCTTCTACCACCATCTCCAGACGTTTCATTCCAACTGTAAGTTGCAATTTCCCTATCGTCAGAAGGTCTGAAACTGAAAAAATACCTGTGGAACTTAAGAGTTTTTATTCTGTTCTTCGCTTTGGTAAACAACATTGCAATTCACAATAATCCCAATGGTGACAATGGAATCAAGATTGAATCTTTCAGGGTACAATTTGCTGTAAGGTTGAGACGAGTTGTAGAAATTCTCTCCCCAGACGACGCCATCTTTTTCACTGCATTGGTGCTACCATAAGCTTGGTGACCCCAACTACCCTTTATAAGCCCTCAATTTGTTTTGAATAGTTCTGCTTTATTCTATGAAATTGAGGTTAGTGATAATGATTTACTGTCAGTTCTACTTCTTGTGGGCCTTTTGTAGGACCTCCTAGGAAGATCAAGTTCATTGATTGAAGTGGCTAGTGCTGCTGATTTGATACAACGCAGACAACGATCAGAGTTTCAATGTAAGCTCTCCTTCTTCCTTTTTCAGTTTAGGGTTTGTTCTTTTCAACTTTCTTTCATTTCAGTTCACCCCACAAATTACTCAACTTTCAGTTGAATTCAGTCCATTTCAGTTCAAAAGAACAGACCCATACTAATGTAATTGATGCATTCTCATTTTCACCCCTTAGTTTATGTTCAACAGCAACTGTCAAGGACATTCTTGCAGCTGCTATAAAGGTTTGTTTTCATATTCAAATTGCTATTGAGTTGAGCTGAGTGTTACCCAAGTGGACATTGATATTCCATGATTTCTGTTCTGTAAATGTTTCAGGAAAACCAGGATCTCATCCCGTCCTTGCTGACTCTGGCTCTAAATGATGCAATGACTTATGACAGTGTAAGAGATTATCAGTTCATATTTTGTACTTAATAGGCATCTCATAAACTTTTAGAAGGCGATAAAAAAAAACTTTTAGAAGGTGATCTGATACAAAGGAAATTTGCAGGATACAAAATCTGGGGGTCCCAATGGATCCATTCGCTTAAGGTACTTTTCCTGATAATCTAGATTAGAGGTAATTTCATTTTGGGAGGGGGGGGTGCTGTTCTAGGCTTCTAGCCGTGTGCATTAGCTTATTACCAAATGGGCCTTTAAACCTATTTGAACTTTAAACTTATTTGAACAACGTTCATTGAAATATAAGGAATCAATACCTTTTTATATGTGTAGCATTATCTGAAAGTACTGTTTGAACTATTAGGGTATATAGCCCATTTTCTAGGCGAAGATCTTTATTTGTTGTTGTTAAACTGAGTTCTAAAACTGTCTTCATTTTTAATTCTTCATACCTGAAGGTCAGAGATAAGCAGGCCAGAGAATAAGGGACTTGCAGCAGCTATGAATTTGTTGGAGGAGGCAAAGAAGGACATAGATGTAAAGTCCAAGGGTGGGCCAATCACATATGCTGATCTAATCCAGTACGGAGGTAAGGCGTGCGTAACTTAATTCACCGAATCATCGCTCACAGTCAGGCCATTTCAGCTTCATATGCTCTTAGGACAATTTCAGTGTACTGAACAATGTATCTTTTATTTATTTTTGCATATCTTCTGTTATTGTTGCAGCACAAAGTGCAGTTAAAAAAACATGTCTTGATGCTGCGATTCGCAAATGTGGTGGGAATGCTGAGAAAGGGGCTCTTTTATACAGAGTATATGGCTCAAACGGACAGGTTAGTACTTATAAGAAATATTCTTGTCTTCCCGTGTGAATTGTGAATGCCAAAAAAATCAACAAACATGATATACCTTTAAGGCAAGCTAAAAAAACATGGTTTTCCAGTGACTCAGTGAGTTTTATTTTTCTAGGAGGTGATTAGCTGTGTTCTGAAGCGTGTTCTCTTTGTGTGGACAGTGGGGCCTGTTTGATAGGCAATTTGGAAGGTCGGATTCCATAGACGCTGATCCAGAGGGGAGGGTCCCTCAGTGGGAAACCGCCAGTGTTCAGGAAATGAAAGATAAGTTCAAAGCAATAGGCCTTGGGCCTCGCCAGGTACGCTCTGGAAGAAGTCATTCAAAGTACTTGTTACAACAAACTCATTACATTTATACTTGCCCCATCCCGACATGATGTTTAAGAAAAGGTGAAATTATGCTGTCGAGATTCTTGCGAAAGCGAGAAACAATGTGACTTATTTGAATGGAAACTTTCTCATGCGAGTAATAGATACTCCGTATAAATATAAGTGAAGTTTTTATTTTGTTTCCACCCGATGTGGTTTTCCATTGTATTCTCCAATTCTAAACCAATTAGTATAAACTATAAGAGAATAGTTTTGTGTTATGAGCAGCAAGCTGTAATGTCAGCATTCCTGGGTCCCGATCAGCCAGCAACCGAGGCCAAAATGGTTTCTGACCCAGACGTTCTCCCCTGGGTTCTCAAGTACCAAAGGAGCCGAGAAACAGTTTCCCAAACTGATTATGAGGCAAGTAAAGTTTGTTTCACAATTTTATTAACTTATAACACAAATGGCTCATCAGCAAAACAAAAAAAATCATTTATGTGTTTATTAAGCTCGGGAGAAATGTTGGGATTTTCAGGTTGACTTGATCACTGCTCTTACAAAAATAAGCACCTTGGGACAACACATCAATTATGAGGCGTATACATATCCTGTGCAAAAGATCGATATCACCAAACTCAAATTGTAGAGTGGAGAGCATTCATTGTATGTGTGTCGCAAAGTAGAGAAATTATGTGATAGATGGTCTGTTTATTTATGTTGAGAGTATAGTTAACTGGAAAAATGTGGCTCAAAATACTGTGTTCTGTGTTACTTTGATCAAAATGATTATCTTATCACCATTTTCAAACCAGCATCTTACTCAACACAAAGCTCTTTCAAATAACGTCACAAAAAGAAGACCAACCAATTCAACAAAATAGTTCAAAGAAGCAGGTGGGAATGAATTGAACTTCCAGAATCACATCCAGTTAAAGACCAAACAACAAAGTATTAGATATATAAATTAAGCAGTTCATTCTTGACGACTGACTGGAGAATGCCATAAAGCAGAAAACCACGTTGGAAATAAAAACAAACAACTTTCTCCAAATTAAAACGATTGAGGAGAAGCGTAAGGCAAATAAGAAGGAAACCGCCCTCAATGTTGCTGCTCTTCATCTTTCTTGGGAGCCTCTTTGATCTCATCCGCTCCCTCTTCCTACATTAGGAACGGGAAATTTATCAGGCCCAGAAAGTAACGAACGTTATTTATATTGGCAATTAAATATAATAATAGTGCAATGGACTACCTGCATATCAGAAGTCCAAAGAGTCAGATTGTCACGAAGGAGTTGCATGATCAAGGTGCTGTCCTTATATGACTCCTCTCCCAAAGTGTCTAACTCGGCAATTGCTTCATCGAAGGCCTAGATTGGATGAAAAAAATGAACGCTAAACAATAAGACTTTGTCATAAAACAAAATGTGAACGTGCGATTCCAAGTAAAGCTGGAGATCGATTCCCTACCTGTTTTGCGAGATTACAAGCGCGGTCAGGAGAGTTCAGAATCTCATAATAGAACACGGAGAAGTTTAGAGCCAGCCCGAGACGGATGGGGTGTGTGGGTGCAAGTTCTGCGTTTGCAATGTCCTGCAAGCAAACAATTGAATAAAGTATTACTCGGTAAATTAATTCCTACGAGCTCATCAAAATATCACATGCGATGATCTGGTATATGGTAGGGAGTATTTGACCAGAACAATTTTTTAATATGTAAATTTTATTTTTAATTACACTCCAATTATCAAATAAATTAAATTAAAAATAATTTCATTCAAATATGTTAAACCAAAACACACAATTTAATTTGGGACGGATGAAACATATTAAACATGCTAATTGAGACAAAATGCTTGAAAAATCAATCAAATATGGTAAATCGAAACAGACAGTTTAATTTGGAACAGATGAAATATCAAACACGCTAATTGAGACAAAATACTTGAAAAATCAGTCAAATATGATAAATCGACACACACTTTAATTTGGGGAGAGGGAATATCAAGGATGCTAATTGAGACAAAATGCTTGAAAAATCTGAGATTTCTTGAAGAATCCGAATCCATCCATCTCACGCAGCAATCACATCCAGATTTTTTAAGCTTATTGAGACATTGCATTGAGTGCATTTTAGATTTTTTTTAATCAACAATCTCAAAAGTCAAGATGCTATTAGAACATTCTACATAGGGCATCTCCCTAGGGGTGGGGTTAGCAGGAGCTACCTATACACAGGCTTACTTTACACGCACCAATCATCCTACTCTACAAAATCGAGGGATAGCTCTGGGTATGAAAAAGAAGATACTCCCCCCTCCCTAAATAAATGTCACATTTATTTTTTCAATAGTCACGCGAATTTTTATCTATTTGTACATTTTTATTAGTTATTTGATAAAATAAAATAGTCATAACACCTTTTATTTTGAAAAACTTTTTATGTAATTTTTAAATATATAAATTTTATTTTTTATTTCTATACCAATATTTAAATAAAATAATCTTTTACATATTAAATCAAAATGTGGCAAACAAATAGGTAGGGAGGGAAGTTAAATAACCTCAGAAAGTCAAATAATCATATTTCTATGAATTTCAATGCAAATAAATGATTATAAACACTAGCAGCAAACCAAAATTGTCAGCACTAATCATCCATAATGTTAAACCATTTTAGGTAAATCTTAAACGAGGAACGATTAATCACCCTGCAAAACAATATACCTGCGCGGATTTGTAGGCAGTGAGAGTGCTTTCTGCAGCCTCCTTACGCTCGGCTCCGGTCTTGAACTCGGCGAGGTAGCGGTGGTAGTCGCCCTTCATCTTGAGGTAGAAGACCTTGGAATCGCCGGCTGAGGCGGAGGGAATGAGTTTGGATTCGAGAAGCTTAAGGATTCCATCGCAGATTTTGGAGAGCTCGGTCTCGATCTTAGATCTGTAATCGCGGATGGCGTTGACGTGGTCTTCGTTCCCACGGGACTCCTCCTTCTGCTCGATGGAGGAGATGATTCTCCAGGAGGCGCGGCGTGCGCCTATGACGTTTTTGTAAGCGACGGAGAGGAGATTCCGCTCCTCCACCGTGAGCTCGTCGGGGTCGCCGAGGGAGGAGGAGACCTTCTCCATGAACTCCACCATCTCCTCGTACCTCTCGGCCTGCTCCGCCAGCTTGGCCATGTAGACGTTCTCCTCACGCGCCATCCTTCAGGGGGGGAGATCTGAGATTGCAGCGAGGAAAATGCAATGGGAAACGGAGAAACAGAAAATGGGGGAAAAAAAAGGGAATTGGGAATATGGGGGGGCCACAGCGAGGAGCGAGCGATGGTTTTGAACTTTTTTAAAACGATGGGAGCGGAGAAGTCTTCGGATGCCCCCAATTTGTGGGGCGAGTGGGGTTGGTTCATTTTAAGTGGTTCAATCTTAGCCCTTGAATTTTCCATGTCCTTTTGAAAAAAAAATGGATTGCCCAATTATAGTATAATCTCAATCTGATCGAGGTTGTCTCGTGCACGGTGTGCGCAAGAAGTTATTATAAATAATACTCCCTTCGTCCACAAATAAACTTTACGTTCATTATTCACATGGTCAAACTTTATTCACTTTGTTGGCCTATTTTCGTCACCCATTTGATAAAATAATATAATCATGTCACCTCTAATTTTGTAGATCTTTTGATATAGTTTTTTAATATGTAATTTTTATTTTTTAATTTTACACCATTTTTCATAAAAAATGATTTGAAAATAACTTCAGTCAAACATCGTAACGCGTAATGTAAAATTTAATTTTGGACGGAGGGAGTAGAATTCTCACACTGGCATTGTCGAGATTCAACCTTAAGATTAATGAGCTTGACATTCTCTCCTTGAACCACTTGAGCTATTCATGCAAGCTGCATGTCCATGTCCTTTTGGAATTTGGAAGTGTTGAATATGTTACTACGTATCATCTTATAATTCTCTTTCCGGATCCAAATTAATCTTCCTTAGTTCTTTTTTAAATTGTCCCAAAGTAATCTTTTCCTTTCTTTTTTTGAAAAACTTTAATGGCTCACCTTTTTCTGTCTTATCTGCATGACTTTCAACTATACAATTTTATTTTTTAAAACTCCGTACAAAGTCAAACTACAAACTCAATTTCATCTAATTTTTTTAGTTTTTTTAAATATCCAACTCTTTTTTTCAATCTTAAAAAACAAGCTCTTAGTGCAAGCGCCGATGGAATAAACTTCAATAAGGGCTCAAGGACGAGCTTTTGACCTCGACGAGTTGAACTCAAGTTAAACTTCACCGACTACCGGTGTGGATTGTGATAAGGTATCGTGATGGCTGAGTTCGCTAACACTTTAGCGCGTGATGGGAAAAAACACCGTCACCCTCCCTTGTGATCCTGATGGCGGTGATGCCCATCACGACTGATTTTCCTTTTTTTGTTTCCTCCGATATGTTCTTTTCTCTCTTCTTCTCTTTTCTTTTTCAATTTTATCCTTCTTCTTTTTATTTGTTTACTTTTTAATTTAAATTTTTAACTTTTTAGTTTCTTTTGTTTTTAATTTTTCACTTTTTTAAAGTTTTTTTGTTTTTAAATTTAAGACTTTTTGGTTAACAAAATTTAAAAAATTAGAAAATATAAATTCATAAAATGCTAATTTACTTATGTCATTGTAATTTCAAGTTTAATATTAATGAAATATTTATTTAATTTGTTTAGTTAATTATGATTTTTAAAAATCTTAAAAATTTGGGTGTGATGGGTGTGATCCACACCCCAATGGTGTGATGCTAGCGTAGTAGGAAAAAGAAAGAAATATTTGTACTAAATAGCACTAAAACCTAAGTCATTTATCTAAATATCACTTAAACTGTTTTATTCCTTAAATATCACTTAACAATGTCAAGTGATTGTGAACATTTACTTGAATAATGACCAATAGATAATGACTAAAAGTGCTACATTAAAAAAAACACATATGATGCTATTTAGGGAAAGTCAATATGTTTTAATGCTATTTAAGTAAATTCTCNGACTGCTCTAGTTTTTTTAATTGCTACCACTAATATTATTATTAGTTTAAATAAAAAGGTAGCGCTATTACTATGATGACAAATTTAAGTTTTTTTAATTGCTACCACTAATATTATTATTAGTTTAAATAAAAAGGTAGCGCTATTACTATGATGACAAATTTATGTTAGATCTAAGGTCTATCATCAACTTACATATGAGTAAAATAAGAATTTTTATACTACTTAAATAAGGATTTGTTTTTTTATTAAAAAAATTTAAAAAAATTTATGTGAAAAAATCCAAAAAAATACTCCGTAGTTTGCACCCAAGATGCACCAAATAAGTACTCTACTATGATTGCTTAATTTGAAAGATAAACAGATTAGTGAGAAAAAAAAGAGTAAAACAATTTTTTAGTTTAAGTTTGATGTAAATTCTTGGAGAATGTTATTACGGAATATGGTAATTGAATAATCAAAGTAAACAGAAAACGTAAAAATACATAGACTTAACGTAGTTCACCAACATTGTGTTGGCTACATCCACTAGCAAGAGCGGAGGCAGATTGTATTATGATAGCGGTTCCAGAGTACAGGGTTATTGTGTCCTACCTCTATATAAATAGACACACAAAACGGGCAAACAACAACATAGCATACCGTCGGGCCGGGGGCGAATCCCGTTCACTAATCTGCATAGCGGCAACACAACACTGATTCAAGGCATATTAACAGAGATGAATTACTATATTTTAATTTGTATATCTAATGTATTTTGGGTTTGAGTTTAGTGTAATGTGTTAGAGATAATTTTAGAGTAAATTTTACAATTAGTCCTTTATAACAGGGAGTTTTCATATTTAGTTTTATATGATTAAATATTACTCCCATAATCCTTCCTTTATAGATATTTTTCCACAAGTGATACTTTTTTAATCTTCTCCCATGCTGGTATTAGTTTAAAAGCTAAAAGTTAAAAGCTAATTTATTCTGATATTGATTATAGTATTACACAAAGATAATGACTATAATAATAGATGATTGAATAGGGAGATCCCCTGATATAAATGATCAATTATGGAATATACTTATAATTTTATCACGGAAAATGCTTGGTTCACAAACAAAATGTTCACAAACTTCACAAAGTTACTATTTGTGAACTTCAATAAATAAAATTAAATAGTCTAAAATAAATTTAAAATGGAAATTTAAACAAAAAATAGTAAGTTTGTGAAGTTTGTGAGTATCCTGTTTATGAGCGTAGCATTGCTCTTTTATCACTCGGTCACTCCTACTTTGTAGTTTGTACCTACCTTGACCATCGTCCGGTCGTCCCGTTCGGATTTTTCTCAAACACAAGACCCTTTTTGTTCTATGGGTCCAATAAATGGAATGATGGGCTTCAGCATTGATAAGTTACCACTCACATCCGAAGTGTATGGGCTAGGCCTACCAAGCCCTAAATTGGTTATTCTTTTTGTTGATGAAAAATAGGTTCATTGTTAAATAAAGAACTATTATGATGGTCCATGTAAATTGTTTATTCCTCCGCATGTTCCTCGCCGGATTCATCATCCATCCTTTTCCAGCATGGCAGATTTCTTCGCGGCGAAGAAAATGGGCCGGATCCCGTCAAACTTTCATTAATTATTTACAATGAGCACCATTTCGGAGTGATCCCTCCGACCCCCCCCGGCTGGATAGTCTATGAATGAAAACCAATTGAATTTTGATTACGTAATTGTAGAAGTCTTATGTTTAACATAGTTGTAGAGGATGAGGTCGGTTCTAGAGCCACTGGAATCCAGTGACTACGGAAGTCACTGTTCTCCTACGGAGCTCCGTTCATGAAATTGATGATTCCTACGCAAGTATAGAGTCAAAAATTTTGACTTTAAAGTCAATTATACTTGCGAGGTGCAATTGACGTAGGTGGGGGGAATAGTTTGGGTCGAGACTTGGCAGGGGGGTTAGGGGGGTAGGAATCATCAATTTCATGAACGGAGCTTCGTAGGGGAGGGGAGCAGTGGCTTCCGTAGCCACTGGATTCCAGTGGCTCTGGAACCGGCCTCATAGAGGATTATGCATTTATGTTTGACAACTGTGCAACGCCCGTCATAAAAAAAAATTTGAATTTTAAAAATCTAAAACATAAGAACGCCCATGAAGCGCCAACCATGGGGGGACTCGAACCCACGACCACGTGGTTAAAAGCCACGCGCTCTACCAATTGAGCTAGATCGGCTAGTTAATTAATTATTTACAGCTTTTTATTTCGATTTAGGGGTGTGCATTATTCGGTCCAGACTCAAACCGACCTGAAACCTGGTCAAAACCGATCCGGACCGGTTTGGTCTTCGATCCTCACTTCTTGCTTATTCGGTCTTTGATCCGGACCAGTGGACTAGTCAATTTTTTTAATAATATCTTTTCTATATAATATTATAATATAGTTTTAAAGTTTTTCTTATACTTAAAATTGCTCTAACTTTATTACTAAAATATTTTTCAAATGTAATGTTTTTATTTTTTTAAACATAATTCTTTTAAAATCTAGTCCAATTCAAAATAAGAAATAATTACTATAATACTATAACTTAAGTTTGTATTTTATCAATAATGAAAGCCTAATAACCAAAAATGAATATTCTAAAAAATCTCTCAACCAAACAAAGTATACAGATATCTATTTATCAAAAAATAAATTAAAAACACAAAAAAAAAACAATACAAACAATAAAAACTGAATAAGAAGAATAATATATATACTCTATGCAAATTAAATAATTTCAGCCAAACATTGATTTTATTTTGTGTGTACTATATTTTATTTTGTGTGTACTATAGAGTAGACCAAGGATACGATGGTTGAGATGGAATCGAGATGATAACCAAAAGAAAAATGCTAGGGGTACACCAAATACCCCATATGTCCCCACCCCCTCCTTGTCCACTAAAAAAGGCAAAAAAATTTTTAAAAAATAAGTAAATAAAAATTAAATTAAAATATGTGGTGGAGAAGGTGGTGGTGTACATTTGGGGTACACCAAAATGGTGTACCCCTAGCATTGCTCTAACCAAAAGTAACCGCCACTCAGTTGGAGTGAAACTGGATGGAGCAAGTGTGACTGAGTGACCGCCCCTCTCTCTCTCTCTATCTTCCCAAAATAAAAAAACGCGCAGTGGACACGTCTCTGGTTTCTTCTACTGCAAACCTTCTTCTTTATCATAATCTATCTTCTGCTAACTCTGTCTTGTTGTGGGAGAACCCATCTCCTCCTCCCTTTTTTATCTTCCCAAGCTCCCATTTATCGAGCTCCAACCCTGGGAAAGATTCAATCTTTTTCCTTTTCTTTTTTTTCTTTTTCTGGTGGGGGGTAAATTTCAAATCTTTATACAATGGAAAGGTACGAAATAGTGAAGGATTTGGGGTCTGGTAATTTCGGGGTTGCCAAGCTCGTGAGGGACAAGAGGTCCAAAGAACTCTTTGCCGTTAAATTCATTGAAAGGGGCCATACGGTCTTTAATTTCTTCCCCCCCTTCTTCCTCCTGATTGAAAAAAAAAGAATCTTTTTATCTGCTTCATTTTGTTAAACTGTTAATTTATTTTCTTCATGGATGACAGATTGATGCACTGGTAGAAAGGGAAATCATGAATCACAGGTCATTGAAGCATCCTAACATTATCACATTCAAGGAGGTGAAATTCCTCTCCCCTCTATCTACTTCTGAGAATCTTATCTTTTCCCCCTGTTTATTCTCTTTTACATTAAATTACTCCTTAATTAATTAAATATTCAATTTTTTTCAAATTTTATTTTTTCCTTTCTATACAAGCATTTCGAATCCTCTATTGTTAGTTAGTATGGCAGAATGGTTGTGTCTCTGTGTGTGTCAAATAGAGTGGGAATCACAACATTCATCTACCACATGATTCAGCTTCAAAAAGTTTGAACAAAATACCCCTGCGAAAAACAATTCTGTACTAGAAAAAAAAAAGAAGAAATAGGAATTGATAAATGATTAGCACATCTGCAAAACATGAAGAAAAAAAGGTGTAGTATAAGTGTGATATGAAGAGAGGGATGGTGAAATGTTGCAGGTGCTGTTGACACCTACTCATCTAGCAATCGTTATGGAGTACGCTGCCGGGGGAGAACTCTTTGAAAGGATTTGCAGCGTTGGAAGGTTTAATGAAGACGAGGTTTGTGCATCATGAATAGACACCTTGATGATATGCATATTGTTAGAATATAAAAACCTTTCCAGGGCCTGTAACCACAAAAGTTTGAGCTTTTGGTTGAGTTGGTTCTTTGGCATATATGCATGTAACAGCATAATCGTATTTCATCTGGTATTCCGGGCGTTTGGTTTGACTATGATCATGAAATTATAATTTTGGCACAGAGAGAGGATCTCATCCAAAAACCAAACTGCCACTTTGCGCAAATATAGTTCAGCTCTAATATTAGTCAGCTGATCTTTGTGCTTGTTTTTGGTCAGGCAAGGTTTTTCTTTCAACAACTCATATCAGGTGTCTCCTACTGCCATTCGATGGTAATAATAATTACAATAGCATCAGCTTGTACTCTTTATTTCTTTCTATATATCTGTCTTGTGTGTTCAATGCTTATGTTTTTTTTTGGATTGCAGCAAATCTGCCATAGAGATCTAAAATTAGAAAACACGTTACTAGATGGAAGCGTAGCCCCACGCGTCAAAATTTGTGATTTCGGCTACTCTAAGGTCCATTTTTTATCCTTGGGTTTTGTTCTACATAAATGTTACTCCGTTTAAAACTCTACGAGGTTATTTCTTAATATGATTTGCAGTCAGATGTGTTCCATTCTCAACCCAAATCAACTGTGGGAACTCCAGCTTATGTTGCACCTGAGGTGCTGTCAAGGAAAGAATATGATGGGAAGGTGCTTTTACTAAATCCCATATATGCCCTCAGTCTGTTGTCCTTCAAACTATGTGTTGTGTTTACTTAAGGGCCTCTAATCAAGTGAAATGTACCATTGGAAACTATAGCTTGCAGATATTTGGTCTTGTGGTGTCACTTTATATGTGATGTTGATTGGCACATATCCTTTTGAAGATCCAACTGATCCAAAAAACTTCAGAAAGACTATTGCTGTGAGTAATAATCTGATTTCCCCGCGCAACAAAAAGAAAACGTGGTTTTCACTGCATCATATCAAATGTTTTTGGTTACTCAGTGTTTATTATATTACAGAAAATACTCGGCGCCCAGTATTCAATCCCCAACAACATCCATATTTCTGTTGAATGCCGGCATCTTCTATCAAGAATCTTTGTGGCAAACCCTGGAGAGGTGAGTGAAGCATGACTATTAGCCTAAAAACAAATACTCCCTTCTTCCCAAAAAATGATTCATTTCCTTTTTGGTACATCGCAAAAAAGCCTCCTTTTTCCTTTTTTTGCAAATCTTTGAATGACTCACAATCTTTCTTTCTGCTCTAGATCACTTTCACTTCACTTAAACTTTGTGTCAAATCAAACAGAAAGACTTTTTTTTTTGGACAAATGGTGTATAAATAACTCTATTAGTGTAATGTTAAAGTGTTGTGTCAAGTGTTTGCAGAGAATAACGATTCCTGAAATAAGAACACACCCATGGTATGTGAGGAACTTGCCAGTAGAACTAATGGAGGGAGGGAGCTACCAGAGCATGGATGTCAACATTCCTGCGCAAAGCATGGAGGAGATATCGGCGATCATTGAGGAGGCAAGAAATGTGGGGAGCCAGCAGTTGGGGAGAGGGCGAACGTGTTCCTATGGTGGGGGGAGTATGGAATTTCTTGATGATTTTGATGACGACGCCGATAACTCTGATGATGTTGACACCAGTTGTGATTTTGTGACTCACCTCTGACTTGAGCAATGCCAGACCTACACACACCCACACAAACAATACACCAAGACGTTGTACAAGTGTTGTAACACACCAAGTGTTGTAACTTTTGGCCTCCTATGTATATATGGATAAAGCCTTCAAGATCATGAACTGTTCAACAGTCTTGTGGTTGTGGGGAAATGTTAGCTGCATGTGATAGTGATTTTGCCTTAAGGGCTGAGGCTAATTGCCCCCTAAAGTTGGATCTTAATTGCCCTGATTTCCCCTCAAGGAGCCTTTCTTTTACCCACCCGGTTGAATAAGATTATGAGTCTTTTGAGTGTGCAAGTTACCTTAAATTTTAGAAGTCGTGTACTTAATTTTAAAACCCTTAATGGAAAGCGAGACTTTAATTAAGGATGAAAAGTATCAATATCGTTATCGCTCCGCTATCGCTATCACTATCATTGAGGAGTGTACACAGGTCCAGAACCAGACCGGACTAAAACCGAAAAAATCAGAAACCCGAAATTCCCTAAAATATAGGACTAGAAAGCGGACCTATTAGATTCCAATCAGAACCGGTCCGGAGCAGTTTTTTCTGATCCGGTCCGGGTAAAATTTATTTGAAAATTTTTTTAAACTTGTTTTCAACATTGTAGCTTGATTTGAATTGATTTTAACCCTACACTTAATTTTTATATCCGTTGGGTGTGTTTCAGGAAATTATATTAATAGAAAATATGATTTAAAATGATTTTTATACTTCCGTTAGTTTGTAGGATTTTAAAAATATTATAAAATTGAATTTAAAGTATTTCAATTTTAGCAAAAATAAGTTATATGCCAAAGTATTTAATACTTTAAATCGAAATATTCTACTGCAACTTTTGGAAATAATTTTAATTTTTTATAATTATGGATATTCTTGGGTAAAGGTCAATGGAATGAATTAAAAAATACAAATTACATTTAAAAGATTATACTCCATATTAAAGTAAGAACAAATGAAAATATAAAATTGTATTTATAATTATAAACTCCGTATTATAAGTATTGAAAATTTAAAAAAATAGAATAATTACATTTCGGTCTTACCCGTCCAAACCGGAAATTATCTGGTCTTGGAGCGGAATTTTACTGGTCCTAAATCTTTAGACCGGAGATCGGTCCGGAATTTTACCAATTTAGTCTTGAACCGGTTTTTTGGTCTGATCCGATCCAATTTTCCAATCCAACGCACATTTTGTACACCCTTACTATCACACTATTACTGACGCGGCCACTACTATCACCATCACCATCACCATCACCATCACCATCACCATCACCATCACCATCACTATCACACTATCACTGCCGCCGCCACCACCACTACCACTCTTTTTTTAACAATTTAACTTTTCACGGACAAAGAAACTTGGGTAGAGTTTAACGTGCACCAAACAAATATATGCAGATAGAGAGATACAATGAGTACATTGTACACGAATCAAATCAAGAACTTTATTTATGGAATAAGGTTATACTCAGAACAGGGCTGGTTTTATCTATGAAGAATGATGAGGTTATGCTCTGTAACCTCCATCATTGGAAGAAAGTTTTGCATTGGAACCAACACGATTATCAAGAAAAATGAAAATATGTGGTTGCATAAGAGACAAGTGGCTAAATAAGCTCAATAGGATCCAGCAGGGGTGTAAGTGTTAAGGAGATCTGCCCAAACAGCGTCTTCAACTTCCTCCCATGACTTTGCCATCCTCAGTTCCTTCCAAATGCTGAAAATCGCTCCCAAAACATTGTCATCATGAAGTATGCAGTAGCACCTGTACGTATATGATATGCAACACCCATCAGAACAGTTCAGAAGATGACATCATCAAGAACATGAATGGCACATTGATAAAATATATGGGTGATTCTAGGGTTCCCCCAAAGACTGACACAAACTTTGAGAACTGAGGTGTTTTTGCTCTCACAAAGATGTATGTACAGTGGTGAGCTAATGTTTGTGAGAACAAAAACACATAAAGCTGTCAAAGTTGGTGTCAACCTTGGGGACACCCAAGGTTTTTACGATGAAATATGGAGTAGCATCTGTGACTTACATGGCATGATAAGAGAGTCGGCCATATCTGCTGCCATCTCCTAATCCATTCAGCTTTTCTTGCCCTAATAACAATGGAAGCTTATAGGTTTCTAGAAAATGCTTCATCAAGCTTGAATCTCCTCTAAACACATCTAGATATATTGGAATGAAGTCTAAAAGCGGGTCACCTGTCAAAGAAACAAGCAAATCTGCCGAATAAAAACTGACAAAGTGACAAGTGCAGATGGGATGATGGTGATAAAAATAAAGTCTATGAACTCACCTATAGATAAGCCACTGAAATCAAGTATGTGGGTTGCACGCCACGAGCTTTTAGTATCACTATTTTTAGAAGTATCAATTACATGATCATTGTCCACCTGTTTATTATCCTTTTCTAAGCAAGTCTTTAGGCAAGACAACTCCATGTGGATATTGTCATCCATTATATCTGAGTGTATCCAGGAGCAAGATTTGTGAACTCTTGCACTATCCTTGATAAGGGAAATATCAACGATCAATGCTATATATAAGGGTTGTTGTTATGTGCTTTTTTATGAATAAGAGTGATATAATAAAAATAGTAGTGCACTGTAGAAAGCCAAGAACTCCAAAACACACCTCAGAGATGAAAATGAGCTTTGCTAGGTTGTCAGGGAGGTATCCACTGACTATTTCTATCAGTGCATCTGGAATTGGATCACCCCTGCAAATTGGTGGAAAATATTCAGACAATCTCTATATGGTTCACTTACATTATGTAAATTGTGATGATTGTTGTAACTAGGAAAACTGAACTAATGTTTAATTTGCATTCCCCATGGTATATTCTAGCTGATGAAGACAGTCTTCTGGAGTTTGTGGCAGGATTAACAATTGGTGGCAGCCGTGTTAGTGAAATAGTGAGGGCAGGGGTTGGTGATGGGTGCCACCCAAGTCTTTGCCAAAGAAGAACAAAGAAAATAGCTGCTAAATTGTTGAAGTTAAGAGTTATCAGGTTTCAAGTTGACGAAATGTCATTTTTGCCCTCAAGTTTTAGGTATCTTTATTTGTTTCAACCAAGCTTAACTGGAGTCCCGATATTAGGACCAAGAGCATCCAAGTGTCAAAACTGTTGGGAGTGAAGACTATTTTATGGAAAGTTTCATGAAAAGTATCAACTGACGCAAAATGGCATACCATTTAGTCAAGCGGTTAGATGCATCCTCCTTCTTCTTGTTCAGTGTTTTGATGAAAAAATCCCATTTTGCCGGGATACTACAAATCACAGCATGCTGTACAACATTTGAATCCAGCATTGTTTCTTCATTGCTTCTTAACATTGTTGAGAAATCCAAAGATGGGCATGGCACAAGATGAAGGTTCCTGAGTTGTTCTCCAAGAAAGGAGGCCAAGTCCAGATTATCTTCCCATGATAGTGATTCCCTTCTGCAAAAAAAAAAAAGAAAAAAAAAAGAAAAAAAAGTAAAAGAGCTGCAAGAATCCTTCATCTGGAAAAACAGTACTCCGTAATAACCAATAACATCAAAATATTTCAAAGTTATAAAGTCCAACTTACAGGTTCGCTAATATTTTTCCTCTGCATCTTTGAGTCACCACATATGGCCATACTTTTGAATTGTTGCTTGTCTCCAATTCATGTGGAGACATTCCCACATTTTTAAAGTCGAATTGCAGTTTGCTCCATATTCCATACGGGTAATCCCCCTGTTGAGATTTTTCAATAACTGGAAGAGAAGTAGAATTCACCTCAGGAACATTTTTTCCATTCCAAGGAATAACTGTACAGTGCCCATTTTCAATATAGAGAATTCCACTTGCCAAAACACCAGGGATATGATCTTTGAGTGGGGAGCCTACTTTCTGGAGAGTACCGTAAAACTCAAGCTGAAAAGGCATAGGCCAATCATAAGAATACAGAATAATTGAACAACAGTAGGTGGTAAAGAAGACATCATACTATACAATGAAGGCACCTCAGTCCCCAATGAATGAAGAGAAGCTTCTGCGCCTCCTTCAACCAATATCTTTATCACTTCATTAGAAACAAGATAGACCTGTAAAGAAATAGAACCTATAAAACACATTTTTTTATAATGAACTGTCACCTTTGCTTGTTGTCAGAAGATTCCACCACCTTCACTGGTTGGTTTCTTTTTCTTTAATTTCTTTTTTCCCTTCCTTTTAATTTTTTGAGTGAGAAAGAATTAAAGTGTAAGGAAAAATCCATGCAAAATATCACAACAGACCTCAAATTTTGGAAGTACCCTCACCCAACAACTCCATAAAGAGTACAACGACAGATCCTTTTAATACAATGATACAGACCCACTCACACACACACCAGTTAAAATATGAATTATTTGATTGCCAAAATACGTACAGGATTACTTCCTGTCCCAACGGGAAGCTTTTCATTTTCTGAAGGTAAAGGCAACTCATGATAGACACAAATTTCCTCCAGACATTCAAACCATCTGCTAGAATTCAGTGCAATACAGGCTCCCTAGGCAATTTCAGATTCAAAATATGACTATGGGTTAGATACATAATTTTAGAACAGACAAGTCCAACATAAATTTAGTATAATAGTGAAGAAGTAGAGTGGTTCAAAATCCAAGCATGGATAAGCAGAGAATATTAAAAGGCAATACCTTCCAAATTAGGTCCCTAAGCGCTGGCCTTTTTTGCCAAAGTCGTGATAACCATTCCCTCATTTCTCGTTGCCCAATACAGTTACTTGAGCACCATAAAGAATTGTAGTGGTCCCTTTCTTTATCTAAGAACATGGTTAAGAAATTTATATCATAAGAGAATTTCAGATTTCTTGTGTCATTAAATTCAGGATCATCATCTCTAGCAGTTTCACATTTTGCACTGTCAACATGTTGAGTAACTTTAGCTCTCTTCTCTTTTCTTGTAAGGTCAAAGTAACTAAAACTCTTTCCCACACTTGACATGTTCTTCCTCACATCCTCAAAGCTTCTGTCATCCAAGGCAAGCAGTCCAGCACGGCAGACTCCTTTATGTCTATAGCCAGGAGCCAAATCCAGGCATACGAATTCAAAATTTTTTGAATTCACAAAATTCTGTGTGACAGCAATAGTGGTCTCCAAATTTAGCACACAATGCCACCACCCACTTGGAACAAATATTGTTTCTCCAGGGAGTTGAGTACATTCTATTGGCTTGTCCTCATCAGCAAGAAAGGGATAGAAGTCCAGCCACCACTAAAGGAACATGAAAATTAGAGCCAGTGAAGAGAACCAGAGCAGATGAATATTTTATCCACTAAGATATTTTTCTTATACACAGTAACACACACACACACCTGCAAAGAAGATGGGGTGTCAATATTGACATCACCATCTTCTTCATTCACATGTACTGTCACTCCTGCAGGCACTCTTCCAGGAGGATACAATGCCCACCTGTTCAAAGAAAAGATATTTATTTCCAACAATGGATCATACGATTATCAGGGCACATATATAAAGCTTGAAAAGGATAACATGTTCAAATGACATTCAAAAGTAAATGGCATACTTCACCTAGTCAAATTCATAAGGGCTACATTCTGTCTATTCTATTTGTACTCTACAATCACACTGTTCTTTCCTTTTCCAGAACCTTCAGATTATACCATTAATTAGTTCAAATAATTCATTACTTATCCTTTCAAAAAAAAGTGTTTTAATTCATCTGGCAGCCAGGGCCCAGGCTTCTGGAAGAGTAGAAGAAATAATAAAAAGGCTCAAAAAGAAAATAGGACAGAATGTTATGATTTTAAGGTTAAAATGTATATTGTGCCCATTTGGCAACAACTTCATAGTTTAGCTTTAGCATTTTGAAAAAGATATCTTTCGAAGTTAATGTGCACCATTAAATAACTATCCAAAATGCTAACGGTAATTGAAAACGTTGTTCCCAAACAAAGCCATTGTCTCTGTTTCGTGCATGGATTAATCATCTTTCAATCACTAAACAGTACTCCCTCCATCCTACTAATTTTGGGACGTGAGAGTGGCACGCAAACTTAGAAAAAAGGGGGAATAGTAAATACTCCATGAAACCCACTTAAAGCCGTTTACAGTGCTGCTCACAATAAACAATCTGTCTACAATTGTTCCAAAAATATGCTCGAGTTCACTATCGATTTATTATGAAATTTACCCAAAACGCATTCCCAATTTACTTGGGATAAAGGCTTTGTCGTTGTTACTTAAGACTAATTGACTGATCTGTTCAATTTATGAACTATTAACGTCCAATTTTTTTATTAACAATTAAATAAATCCTGATAGGCTGATACACTGAAAATAATCACTCGCTGATTTGTAGGGTACATGTTTGCACACTGAAATCCATGCAGTATATGGTACTAGATACTAAATGTTGATGTATTACCAACACATCTTTTACCAAAGAGTGAAAGCTTCTGCTACGACACTTTAGCAGGGCATTTCCATGAGTAGGAATTTTATCAATACTCTCTAGGTTTACAGTTACCGTTTGCATCCACAAAGCAGAGTATTCCAAGCACTAGTAAGAGCTGGATCAACATGCCAAGAAGCACCAGATCTCTCTGGTCCAATTATCATCCATCTGAAAGGGGGGCGTTGGTCTCTATCCAATACATCAAAAAAGTCTTCTTGGAAAAGGTATGGAACGCTATAATCCTTCAATAGTCCAGGAGCAACTTCCCCAAACTGTATAAATCATGAACTCCATTTGTACACGTTGCAGGATAAACCGCATGAAATGTAAAAGTAAGTAGCACAAAGAAGGCACCTTCTCATCAAATATATATAGAGGATCCTCATCATGCTGAAGTTCCATGTAAGACACATAGTCCTTGAGTTTCATGATAACTTTCTTAGGGCCCCTATGAGATATTTTAAATTGTGTATCTCCATACTTCAACACTAATTGCTCTGTTGTCCATGCACTCCTAGCTAGCCAAGAATCCGCTAATCCACCGATCAAAACCTAATTCCAATTGTTATTTGGTAACAGCAAAAAGCATATGTAGCACACACACTATAAATATCATGCCTTTTAAATCGTGTGAAGAGAAATTCACAGCAAAGAAAATGACATGCAAGGGACTTATTTACCCCACCTCTTTTAAGAAAAACAACAAATACATTCTAATCCCACACATGGGGTCTAGGAAAGGTAGGATGTACGCATAGTCGTGGACCTTGCTTCTACTTGTGAGGAGTTGAGATGCTGTTTTAAATAGACATGCAGTTCCTCTTTGCAAGATAATATTTATATTTGCAATTATTTATTTATTTTTATTTAGAAACAGCTTTATAAATGTCACTAAACACACCACACATAAATACTAAAATTGAAAGAGAACTTGAAGGGAAAAAAGAAAAAATGAAGGGAAAAAACATGTAAAATAAAATGTGACAAGAGTAAAAATTACATAGTTATGGTTAAGCTAACAAAAGCTGCAAAAACAATTCATTTCATGCTAAGCCACAAATTTTCATTTCTATATGTTGATAAATGCCATACCGGTTTCTGTCCATCATACTTATCATGAAACACTTCCAAAGAGAGGCATGTTGTCCTTTCCACATTTCCACTATCATAACCAAAATCATTCAGAGTAGTATAGCATCGGTATAGTCTTCGGTACAGAAACAGAGAATTGAATCCTGCAAGGAAAAAATCTAATAAATGTTGAAAGAATGAACTGAGAGTGACAGTTTCACCAAGTGACCAAGGATTGAAGGAAGTCTACTAAAGTCTATATTGAACCAAAGATTACCGTCAAAGTGTAATTGTCTCTGACAGGGTATAACACTTTCAATTGGCAGGTCCATCCTACACAAGAAACAAATAAATATTTTTCTTATTTATCTGGAAATATGGGAGAGAAGAGATTCGGCTTATCGAGTTTTAAGCTCTTTCAGAAACATACTGATCCATTGTTGTTTTCTTCCAGGAGCCTTTGTACCAAAGTGGATGTTGGATACTGTCAAGGCATAGGCTCATCCACAGGGGCTCCTCATTGCAAAAAATATACAATACACTACAAAATGAAGTAAGCAACATGAAAAACAAAGAACTGAGAGGTCACATATGGCATTCACAATTTCATAACACCTAAGTTGACTTCAGCAGACAAATACATGGACCTAAAGTTGAACAATTGCAGCTAAAATACACTGAGTAATCAGCAACCGTTCTTGGGCCAGGCCAAAGCATTGTTTCTGACTACTTTGTGTCTTCGAAGGTTCAGAAATCAAATCCCATGATAAACTCACATGAATATACAAACACATTTAAAATGCTTGTTGTTTGGAGAACTTCAAATTCTATCTTAGGATATCAAAAATATCAATATATTATTATCATCTACTGATTTCAATAATGTTTTCCCCTGGTTAACAATGTGATCATCACATATTTGGTTTTGTAAGCCGTATACCACCTTCCTTGTCAATTTTTCTAGATATTTCAGCTACAATGTGAAGAAATGTGGTGCAGATCGTCTTAATATTCAAGAACCACGAGCACATTCGACAGAAATGTGAAAGTCTATTTTTATACTAGGTCAGCACTTGCATAATGAAAGAAATGGTGAACATCTCCGGGAATGGCCACCCCCAAGTTACTTGGGATAAAAGTCTATGTTTTTGTTGTTTTCAGCACTTGCACAATGACCCCAGCAGCCGTTTACAGGAGAGAAAAACAATGATGTTAAATGTAAAAGAAAAACAAATCCAAAGGTTAGAACTTGTTAAAGCACTTGGAATTGAAGTGATGTATGCATTAGCCAAATCCAAAAACAATGGTGTTAAATGTAAAAGAAAAACAAAATAAGAAGAAGCAGTACAAAATCACTTGATGGGAACCTGGTAATGATTTATAGTAATCACACATCTACCTAAATTTGACACAAAAAGACATCAGCAGCACATGCTCGTAATAAACACAAAAGGATACGAGAGAAGAATCACAGAAGCTTCAATATATATATTAGGAGAATAATCATGACTACTCAGCTATGAAACGCAGTTAGACCTGCTAACACATGCAAGGCGAGCTACGTCTCTAGGGGAGAGATGAGTCAGAACGGCGCAGATAATTTCATCAGGAAGAACCCGCAGGTCTCCTAGAGCTGAGAATCGCCGGTCAATGGGTTTCGCGTCGATCGAGGACGGTTGCGATTGCTTGGGCGATCGGCGACTATCTTCCACCTCCATTTTAATGCTCTAAGCTGAAACCAGTAATTGGCTGATTGAAATGAATATTGTCTGAGGCTTTCGGGTTTCCTATTTTCCTCCGGAATCGGTATTTCAACTTGATTCGATGGAACTCCGCATGGCGTCAAAATTAAGCTGGACGGCGGCCCCTGATAATTTCTTAAACTTCTCCACCGTGTCGATGGCGTGGGTACACGACGACATGGATGGCTTTGGTTCTTTGGGACCTGGGAATATTGGTAGCATAAAATATGAAATCATGATTTCTCATATCAAAATCATTTTTTATATGAAATCCCTTTTTATATATTTTTGCTTAAGCATAATAAAAATCATTTCCAAAAATAATTCCAAATCAATGATTTTGATATCTAAGGAATCTAATAAAAAATTATATCGTTAGATATATGTAGACTTTCATTCGCTGTCAGAGTATCGGTTAATTTTGAGTGTCATCGTTAACTAACTCGACTGTAGTTCTATCACTAATTAAGTTGGAATTTGAAATTTTTTTCAATCCACTTTATATCAAATTTCGAAACTAATATCATTTTTTGTTGAGTTTTGAAAGTATAATATACTTTGTAGTATTGTATATTTTTATGTCATTTCTCTTAAATTTTAAAACACATAATGATGGAAAATAATACGTGGTTCGATCCACATTTTTCAATTATTTATGAAGAACCAATGGTTTACATTTTTTTTTATACAAAACCGAACCAGTGCACTAAATTACCTTTCGTTTTGTCATTGGTTTTGGGTAAAAACCAAACCAAGCTCTAACTGTATTGTATAACCAAAATCCGCAGAAAAAGACAATTCTCTACACGGGCGAGGCCCAAACTTAAAATTTTTTGCACTAGCAACAATTGATGATAAAAGATGAATAGACATATCAGCCACAGCTAGAAATAGTACTCGTCCGGCCCCATTTCTCCATAGAGCTATGACAATCGTACTCCTCTGTCACTGTATCTCTCTCTCAATAGCAATGGGAAGATGGAAAATGAAGAGTCGGACATCGAATTCCTTCTCTGTCAACTGTCATTGTATCTCTCTCTCTTTCTCAATAGCAATGGAAGATAGAAAATGAAGAGTCAGTGATGTGTCATGTGGGGAAGAAGAAAAAATAAAGGTATTTACAATTGCCAAAATAAGCCCATCACCTTTAATCTTTGAAATTTCTACTATCTTAAAATGGAAAAATCTGATTGTATAAGAGGCCATTCTTCTTCATCGAATGAATCACAATTGTAAAAGAGAGCTAAGAGAGAGAGAGGGAAAAAATGGCTAACGATGAGGAAAAAAAAACAAAGATTGGTAAAATTGGAAGATGAGATTATTGAAGCTAGATTTATTGTATCCGGCCTTCAAAAAGTTGTTGCAAGAATNGTGGATTCCTCCCCCCCCCCCCCCCCCCCCCCCCACCGGACTCGAATCCACAACGTTTAGCCAAGGAAGAGCAGAAACTGCAGCGAGAAGAGAAATATCTAGCCTCAACGAGAGGAGCTGCTAGCCGGGGGAAGGAATGGGAGCTCCTCGTCAAAGGCGTAGGGAATCTAATGTGTGACCCAAGTGCGGGTTTGTGTGTCAACCCATCGTCTAAATAAATTCATGCGCTTGTCCCGTGTTTGTGTAATAAATTCCCGTGCTTGTCCGGTGTTTGTGTTTGAATGTTTGTTCAGTGTTTGTTTGGTGTTTGTTAAATTCTTTTTTTATTTTTAAGAGTAATAAAAAATGTTTTGTGTTAATTTCGTTGAAATGGTACAAAGACACGGGCGAGGCCCTTAAATATGCTCAAAACCACTTGCCGCCATTTTGTGCCAATTATTTTTGATGAAATCGCAAAGTTCATAGGATGTTTTATATTTGCAGGGAGAGAATCCTCACTGTTCACCATACTCGATCTTTTGTCCCCAAATTAAAGCATGAGCAAAAACTAGCAGTGGATTTCAAAGTACAATTCTACAACTTAAAAATGATGAAAGTGATACTTGAATGGCATTCCAAGGAGGAGTTACTAGCACCCGTGGGCCTGGACAAAGACTTTCAGTTCCACTCAATCTTTGTGTGTCCGGTGTGCCAGGGCCATCCGACCAAAGGGAATTGGCCTATGTTGATGTCGCGTGGGCACGTGGTGTGCTGAACCAACACACTATAAAGAACTTCTCAAGCATCTATATAGTCTTCTATATAGAAACAGACAATCAAATCCTCAAGGAGAAACAACAACCAGTTGAAAATCTAATCAATATTTGAAGAATGAACTGAAAATGATGGATTCGCCAAAGTGACTAAGGATTTAAGGATGTCTACTAAACTCTATATTGAACTAAAGATTACCGTCAAAGTGTAATTGATTCTGACAGGGTATAACACTTCCAATTGGCAGGTCCATCCTACACAAGAAACATATAAATATTTTTCTTATTTATCTGGAGATATGTGAGAGAAGAGGGATACTGTTTATTGAGTTTTAAGCTCTTTCAGAAACATACTGATCCGTTGTTTTCTTCCAGGAGCCTTTGTACCGAAGTGGATGTTGGATTTTATCAAGGCATAGGCCCATCATCCCAAAAAAATATACAATACACTACAAAATGAAGTAAGAAGCATGAAACACAAAGAACTGGCGGGTCCCAGAAGTTAAGGCATTAACAATTTCATAACATCTAAGTTGACTTCAGCAGACAAATACATGGACCTAAAGTTGAACAATTGCAGCTAAATTATACTGAGTAATCAGCAGCAACCGTTCTTGGGCCTGGCCAAAGCATTGTTTCTGACTACTTTGTATCTTCGAAGGTTCAGAAATCAGATCCCATGATAACCTCACATGAATATACAAACACATTTAAAATGCTTGTTATTTGGAGAACTTCAAATTCATAGGATATTAAGAATATCAAAATGTCATTATCATCTACTGATTTCAACAATGTTTTCCTCTGGTTACTAATGTGATTATCACATATTTGCTTTTTTAAGCCATATACCACCTTCCATATCACTTTTTCTAGATATTTCAACTATAATGTGAAGGAATGTGGTGCGGATTGTCTAAATATTCAAGAACCACGAGCAGATTCAGTAGAAAAGAAATATGAAGCTTGAAAGTATTTTTTTTATACTCGGTCAGCACTTGCACGATGAAAGAAATGGTGATAGAACATCTCCGTGAATGACCACCCCCAAGTTACTTGTGATAAGAGGTTTCGTTTTTGTTGTTCTCAGCACTTGCATAATGACCCCTGCATCTATTTAAAGGATAGAAAAACAATGATGTTAAATGTAAAAGAAAAACAAATCCAAAGGTTAGAACTAGTTAAAGCACTTGGAATTGAAGTAATGTATGCATTAGAAAAATCCAGAAACAATGATGTTAAATGTAAAAAGAAAAACAAAATAAGAAGATGCAGTACAAAATCACTTGATGGGAACCTGGTAATGATATATAGTAATCACACATCATCCTAAATTCGACACAAAAACACATGAGCAGCACATGCTCATAATAAACACAAAAGGATGCGAGAGAAGAATCATAGAAGCTTCAAGATATTAGCAGAAAATTCATGACTAATCAGGTATGAGACGCTGTTAGACCTGCTAACACATGTGAGGCAAGCTGCGTCTCTAGGGGAGAGACGAGTCACAACGGCGCAGATAGTTTCATCAGGAAGAATCCGCAGGTCTCCTAGAGCCGAAAATCACCGTTCAATGGGTTTCGCGTCGATCGAGGATGGTTGTGATCGCTTGGGCGGTTGAGGACTATCTTCCAACACATTGCTCTAGAATCTAGATGCTTTCCCCTCTCATAGGCACATCCTATATCCGCACCCAAGCTCCTGAATTTCTTTGCAAATGCACCTCTACAGTTATCTTCTCTGTTCTCTATAAGGTAGCAAAGCTCCCTTTGTACCCGCATACTTGTCAACAATTACTACTGATTTCTCATTAATTCTTCCTTCTTTTACAAAGTCCTCTAGCATAGGTCTGACATGATTCTCTACCCAACTCTTAACTGCCTTCTCTCCCTTCAATAATTTAAAATATAACAATAATAATAATAAGAATAATACGGAGTAATATGCAAGGAATCAAAATAATAATAAGAATAAGAAAACCAGAACACTGAACGGACACACATAAAGATGCTCGACAATTCACTCTACATGCATGAGTATGCAAGCAAAATTCAACAAGTGCATACACGCAATTAGGAATTTCACAATTACAAAAATTAAGTACAGGACAAACACGCTATGCAGGAGAAGAAAGTACCGGTACATCATCAGCATGTCAAACAAGAATTGTCATCACTTGAAACAAAAAAGATAAATATAAAAAGCCGCCACCACCATAAACAAGCATGTCATCTATTGTGTTCCAGCAAAGATATAAATATAATAAGCTCAATGACGTCAGAACTTACATTGATATTCTCGGCTTTATGGCAAAGTATTGCCTTCAATGCTGCCTCAGAAGGGTTCAGAACAAGACATCTACATACATCATTTGCAATCTCTCTCAAGATGCATCTTGCATACACCAAATATTTCAGCATCAACGCGACCCCTTGCCTGCCACGAAGAAAAAACAAGTGTGTTAGTCCTTAGTAAAAGTCATGAGACAAACCAGCTGATCACATCCCATCTAACATCTTCAAGAACGGCTACACATTGACATGAGGAGGAACTTGACATTGCGCCCAAATGTGCCTTGAAGGAACTGGATTTAAGAATGTACAAGCAACTTCAAACGTTAATGCAAAATGGTGAGCGTCTGCGCAAAAGCACGAAAATGATAGATTTGGTGAAATCAACTGCATTTCGACTCTCATCCGATGCATAACACTCCTTAGAATTCGCTTCAAGATAAATAACACAGAATTGTTGGCCTCTTCTATATTCTTGAAAATGATTACACCATGGGGCCTCTTCCTCACACCATCAAACAGTTTTTCCAGATTACCACTGTCACAAATATAACACAGGTTCAGTTCAATGAAAAGTTCTGCAACAAGCCAATACTCAGTCTGGTTACTAACACAGTAATGCCTACCCTGAAGCACTGTCAGACATATCCATTCGGATAAGGGCACCACTTGAATCGTATATCAGCTTAGATAAAGATTTTGCAAACTCTTCTATGTATAGACCCGAAGAATCAACCACAACAAATGAACTCAAGGGTTTTTGTTTCCGCTTACGGCACCTGCTGTATGCATGGGCTACTGCAGCTAAAGCTTGCCTATGTCCACAGAATGTCTTCATCAGTTCCTGAGACTTACAAATCGGAGGCCTTGAAAATATCCGGAGCCATGACGCTGGTTCGCCCATCACTGCCGCTGCTACCTACATGAATCAAATATATCATTATTAGATGGCCCCTCATATTTTCTCTTCTTCTTGAGGTGTGTGGAATGTTAGGTGTTGAAGGAACATGAATACATTACTGTGTTTAAAACTGCAAAACATATTCTCAGGATACAGTTTTAGAAAAGAGACAAGGACGTGCTCTAATAAGATCTCCCTCCTAGAACATACAACAAAGGCCAGAAATCCTTGATCTTGAAATGGAAGAGCACTTGGCCTATCACTTTAGCCGCCATAGATAACAAAATATGGTTTATGTGCAAGGGGACAAACTCGAGATCTTACAGGGATCAAACATATGTAAAGGCATAAACCATCATATCATAGCGCGTGCACACCTCCCCCTTCAATTGCATCTGCACTATACCTATCCACGTCGTTGCTTACAATACCAGCTTTGTCCGCTCTCCGCTTTTGCTCCTTTTCTGCCAATTTCCTCTCAACTTGTGTCATTGGTAAAACAGAATTTGCTTCGAGTGAAACTGGAAACTTATGAGAACCATTAGTAGTGGTTGTTTGAGTCATTTGAGAAGGTGAACATCCATCTGATGCATACATGTTAAGTAGAGAAACCAAAAACGTCTTCACCTCCGTAATGGTGTCTTCAACCCTTTTATCTAACTCCCCATAAATTAACTCCAAATAATCCCCAAGTTTCTCAAATTTATATTGCGGGTCAAGAACCATTCCAAGCAATACATAATCATTCACCTTAGTGAGATCCCCCCAATACTTATCATATTTAGCTTGCATAGGTATCGCAATAGAAGATAGAGGTGTACTTCCAGGTTCTTTCATAACACCTCCAATTTTTACCAAATCACCAAAAAGATTTGAAATTGTTGGAGTGTATGAACAACATACCTTTAAAGTAACTTCATAAAAAGGTCTTAAATAATGAGCAAATACCTCAGCTTTTTCCCAATCATCACAAGAAGGTGGCCCTTCCCTTCCTTTGTCTTCTTTGTTAGATTTATCAGTTTTAAAATATCCCGGCCTCCCGGGTAGTGACCATCGTCTTCTTTCAATCTGTCAAAAGCTTTACGAAACTTCACAGAAGATTGTAACATTAAAAATGTAGAGTTCCACCTAGTTGGAACATCCATTATCACAAGCCCCTTGCTTTCAACTTTAACTTTCTCCACACAAACTTTAAACATATCTAACCTTTGAGGCGATGATCTTACATATCTAACAGCATTACGAATGCTTTGAATTGACTTATTCAATAACCCCAACCCATCATTCACAACCAGATTCAAAATATGTGCCACACATCTCATATGCAAATTCTTACCACCATGCAAAAGTGCGTCTTTAATTTTCCAAGAGCTTATTCTTTTAATGAGATCTTTTAAACCAGAATCATTTGAAGAAGCATTGTCAACTGTAATTGTTAAAAGCTTTTCAATTCCCCATTCAATGAGACACTCTTCCAAAAGCCTGGCAATTGAGTCCCCACTATGGTTTGGAATCACACAAAAGTTCAAAATTCTTTTATGTAAAGTCCAATTCTTATCAATGAAGTGTGCAGTAATAACCTATGTAGCACAGAAACTGAGACGGGAACGGAGACGAGACGAAACGGAGACGGGGAGACGACATATATATATATATATATATATATATATATATTACTCTTTCTATCCCACATAAGTTTTTTCACGTGTGTAGTATTTTATTTGGATCATGTATATCTAACATTGAGAAAAAACTCAAGAATTAAATCTAAGGCCCATATAGGGATTGAAGCCCAAAAATTAGATGAGGGAAGTGGCTATATAATAAGCAAATCAGGGAAAACAAAAAAAACCCGAGCAAGCCGCCGCAAAAGGAGAGATAATGATCTATTCTGCGACTCTTTTCTTCTCTCTTTCTTTTTTTAACTCCCGTGTCGTCCAAGCATTTCGGAAAAGGGAGACGCGTCTCCCCTGCGTCTCCCAGCATTTATTTAAATTTTAATTTAGAGCAACGCCACTTGGAGTTTCCGAGACGTCTCCAGGCGTCTCCGCCGCGTTTCCGCGTGTCCAAGGTCTCCGATACGGGTACGGTATGCTACCTGGCGTTTCCGTGCAACATAGGTAATAACCATGTAGTTGATGTTTTGAATGGAGGTCCAAGTATCTGTTGTAAGAGATACTCTATATCCACTCAAATCATCTTTTAATTTACTCTTCTCAACGTAAAACATGTTAAGCACATCTTTGGCAATCGTCTTACGACTTGGGACTCTCCAATGGGGGGATGTAACTCTACAAAAATAACGAAATCCTTCTCCTTCCACAAAACTAAAAGGTAACTCATCTAGAATTATCATTTCCACACACGCTTTAGTAATTTCATCTTGAGAACTTCATTCCCCGTACCACCAAGTCTTTACTTTTGTCATAAGTTAAAATTTTTTGTCTTTGACTCCATGTGGCGGGTACTCTCTACATTTATCCATGTGATTTTTCAAAGCAGTGGTACCATTTAGTTTGGGGTGATCAGCAAAACCTTTATGCTTGCAATAATGACAAAAGGCTTTAATCTTACCAGACACAAACTTTCTGGTAAAATGCACCCAAATATCGGCCCTTTCGTTGGCTTTCAAAGCTGCCAAGTACTCTTCTTCTGTCATTCCGCACAAGTCGATTATGTCATTTGTATTTTCACTTGCCTCGTTACATTGTACATTACTTTCAATCGTCTCAGATGATTGAAAAGATGGCACATCATTAATAGTATCCAATGATTCAATCTCTTTCTGCAAGAACAAAAAATATGGTAGATTAAGTTATTAAAATATGGATTATAGGATGTTAAAATATTAACAAAATTGACTTGTTAAGGTAAATGAAAGATCTTAAATGAAATATAACCTGAGAACGAGAAGTTGTTTTGGGAACTTTAGACTGTTTTGATATTGTTGAAGAATGCCGCTTCATACTTTCTATTCCCTATAATAAACATATGATCAAAGATAATGTTTTTGTCCAAGAAATAACAAGAAGGAGAAATGGTGAAAAGGCAGAAAAGGTTTTGGGTGCATTTTTTGATATGCCCCATCCAATTTTTGTCCAAGAAATACTTTCTATTCACTGTTATTATATTGCAATGAGCATATTTTGATATTTGTGCATTTCAAAGATACCCAAAATATATCCAAAACATTTGTTGGAAAATTACCAAAACATTTGAAAAAAATTAAAGAACATATGCTTCATACCCAAACATTTGCTGCAAAATTACCCAAACATTTGCTAGAATGACTTGATAAAAAACATTAAACAACATATGCTTCAATTCGTACCTTCTGCGATTGAAGAAGAAACTGGCGAATTGGCGATTGAGGAATGAGGAGTCTGAATCAGGATTTTTGCCCGCCTAAGGATTGTGGCGAATTGGCGAAGTGGCAAGTCGGATAGATGTTGGAGCACAGCGAACTGGCGAGTTGGATCCTAGAGCGCAGCGAAGAAGATTGGAGATCTTAAGACTGAAGAGCCCAACGAAGAAAATTGGCGTCTCTGCGATGAGGAGTTTGGGTATTCGCGTAACCCTAAAATGCTAAATGCGTAAATTGCAAAAGCCTAAATTCGGAATTCCTAAACGTAAGTAAACTATACATGTTTCTGTTTTCAGTGGTTCGGTTCTGTTTTAGATAGCAAAAACGGCAACCGAAATCGAATACAATCGGTTCGGTTCGGTTTTTTGAGTTCGGTTCCGGTTTTTGCGGTATGGTTTTTTTTGGTATTGTTCAATTAATTTCGATTTGGTTTTCGGTTTTTGGTTTTTCGGACCCAGCCCTAGTTGCATGTCGGTTATCACTTATCACTACTTAATTTCTTTATCCTTGGCATACATTAAGGACAATGCATGAATTAAGTATGGGAGGATGCTCTCTACATTTATTTTGTGTATTTTCAAGAGTTCAATCCGCACACACGTCATATATATAATAGTGATCATTTGGGAAAGGTTTTAAAATCTAAATCTCTTGTGGAATAATTTTCAAAAAAAAATTATTTAAAAACAAATGAGGAGAAAATGGAAGCAGAATTATTTTTACCTGTTATATTAAATATGCTTGCATGATTTACATTATCTTGTTAACTCTTTTTTTGGCCCTGATGGGTGTATTCCACCCAGAACTGATCAAATGGAAGCCTTCAAATACTTGACCGGTCAAGATTGATTTTTTGGATGGTAAGCCTAAAACGACGTCAGAGTGTATTCAGTTGACCGAAAAATCTCATTAGTATACTTCGGAAAGTTTACCGGTCAAATTACTTTACACCCTCATTTGTCCCCAGTTTCAATAAACTCATCCCTTAGAAATCACCCGGTATGATTTCTAGGGTTGTAAAGTGTCGGCAAGGAAGGATCCTAAAGAAATCGAACAGTAGCAGCCAAATCCAACGGAGGATCATTGAGATACTCTGGCAATTCGTCCAAGATATTATGCGACAAGGAAGTCACCTTCCTAACTAGATGACAAGGCCGCTAGAAGACAGAGACAATCACCTCACACCACCCAGAAACGTGCCCTGACGTGGATGTGCGGCGCCATGTCCACCATTGATCAATATAAATACCTTTGTAACCCTCAAAGGGAAGAATCCGATTTCTTCTCACTAAAACTCTTTTGTAAAAGCACCCGTGCATTCTACTGTATTGAAATATGAATTGGGCTACAGGTGTTTCCACCTACAGCACCTTAACAAACACAAATCAACCCAATCTGATCCAATTGTGCCCAATTGAACCAAAATAGAAGAATTGGACTCATTTAAACCCAATTGAAACTAATTGGAACCACCAAACCGTCACCAGGCCACTGCCCGGATATTGGATAGACTACCGTTGACGTATCGCCAGAAAAATAGACGACAACTATCCCCAAAGCATCAATTTACACTAAATCAATAATCAACAACCAATTTCACAATCAACTTGCAAGATTATACATTAAAGAAGTCCTAATCTACGAATTAGCACTAACGATAGGCATAGAACAACGATTCACCTAAAAATTGAAAAAATTAGCATTGGGTCGCAGAGGAAACCGCTGCCCAACTCATCTTGTTCTCGCACACGCGATGAAGGGATGGGACGAGGACGATGGTCGACGATGCTAACCCACAGTGAGACCGACGGAAATCGGCGACGATGCATTGTGTCGGTTCGGGGAACAAAGCAGAGAGACAAATGAACGGGGCACTGGAACAAGCGGAAAATTAGAAAATAATCTTCCGATTGACCGACCTAATAACTAACTAATTAATTATATAAATTAATTAAAAATACTAATTAAGCCAGGTTTTGAAGCGTTACAATAATCAAAACAAATGAATTTATTCTAAGAAAGGATAGATTGGTAGGACTAAAGGTAATTACATGTGAATATTTTTTTTACTTTGAACTAATACTAATTGGAGAGACTTTCCAATTTAAAAAAAAGAGACAAATATACTCCGTATAAAATGAAAGGGATCTTTATGGGCATGTTTGTTTAATATAGCATTAATTTTATTCCATATATATAAAAATAATTCTAAGTCAAATAACAAGTATGTTTTAATTTAATATTATTATATTTCATTTTTCAAGAATATTTAAATTAAATAATATATTTTGAAATTGAAAAATATTTTGGAATGACAAAATAATTTTTCGAGTGCACTCTCAATTCCTCAAATGTTATTTATTTCTTGGCGTTGTTGTCCATTAATTAAAAATTGTGTAAAAAATATATTTACTAGATTCCTGAAAAATATTTTACATTAAAAAAGTTCAGAATCGACAAAAAATTCGTTCGACCTCGTGCATCGCACGGCTAAAAATACTACTCCCTCTGTCCCTAAATAGATTACAATTTTTTTTCTCTCTCCTCTGGATAACTTTTGTTTGTTTACGCGATTTCATTATGTATTTGATAAAATAAAATATTCTTGTCACCTCTTGTTTTATAGAACTTTTGACGTAGTTTTTTAATATGTAATTTTTATATCTTATTGATATACCAATTTGTAAATAAAATGATTTCAAAAAGTAAGAAATTTTACTCCGTAACTCGCAATTTGTAATCAAATTGGAGACGGAGGAAGTAGTTTATATTATTGATGACTTCTCACCTTCTACACATCTTCTTATCTCTTCATAATTAGTTCTTGAGTAATATCTTAAGGATGGAAAGTTTGGATAGAACTGGTAAAGTAGCTCTTCTCGATCATCTATCTCTGAAGGGTGGGTGACTAACTTAGTTGAGCTTTAATACTACTATGATAGTCAAAGTTGAACGTGAACTGAAATTATTTTCAAATCAATTTTAATGACAAATGGTATAGAGTTTAAAAAATAAAAATTACATATTTAAATACTACATCAAAAGATGTACAAAACTAGTAGTGACCACATTACTTTATTTTATCAGAGTTGCTAATGAAAATTGAAATTTAAATTTGTTTATCACACTCTGATTCTCAAATAAACTATATTAAAAATTATTTTCAATCAAACATCGTAAACCGAAAGAGTTGATTTAAATTCAAGCACAAGGAGTAGTTTGCATATAAATAGAATAGAAAATACTCCCTCCGTCCCCTTGTATTTGTCCACATTTGACTTTTGAAACTGTTCATCTAAGCACTTTGACTCATCAAATTCTCTCAATGTGTAAGCCTAAATATAGTCATGTGTGGTCTTGTTTGATTTGTCTTAACATATAGATTATTAATATATAATTTTTATAATTTTTTAATATACAAATTACAAGATAAAATGGATTAAAGAAGTGCATTGGATGGTGTGTAAAAATGAAAGTGGACGGAGGGAGTAAAAACAATCGACCTTAGTAGAATCAACTGGGGACAACCCCAAAGAGAAACGCCGTCCCAGCATGAAGACATATCATTTTATATCAAATTGTGTTACTCTAATTTGCTCTCCCACCCCAAAAATATCAGAAGCCTAATTTTGAACTCTCCTCCCTCTTATAAAAAAGTTGTCCTCGACTATATATTTTCTACAGTATTTTGTTATTAACAAGAATGAACATGTGTTGGCCTGAATCCTTATCAATATTTGGTTTAGAATGCTTATTCTTATTTTAACCGGACAAGTGGATTCACCCGAGGCATAAATGTGCACCCAAACTAGATTAAAAAATGTTTCTTATTTGATCTTAATTTAGTTTTGTTTCTCCCTCTTGTTCAAATTATATTATGGTTCTACTTTTCTATTTGCATCCATCCAAAAATTACGTTTGTATAAATCTCATCCGCACAATTTTGAATTGTGCATATATATATATATATATATATATATATATATATATATATATATATATATATATATATATATATATATATATATTTTGGTTCTGGTGAGAATGCGATCTTATTAAAGAAATAAGAATGAATCTGGTGCATTAGATTGTGAGATCTAAGGGTCAGGATTGCATCAAAATTAGATGCACTAAAATGCTTTGAAAATGCATCATGTTGAAATGCACCAAAATCTTTTGAAAATGCACTATCTCAAAATCTGAGTGTAGGATGCGATCTGAACCGCACGATGCATCAGATCTAAAGGCTAGATTTTATTCTTATTTCTTTCACCAAGATGCATTCTCACCTGAACCGACCCCTATATATATATATATATATATATATATATATATATATATATGGAATTGACTCCAGTGAGATGACACCTTACGGTGCGATGACATGCTTCGGTCAGATGACGCAAAACTCACCTGGAAATAAATCAAAGCTCACCACTTTGAACCCCAAAACTCACCTTTTTTTTAATTTTGAAAATTAAAAAATTAATTAAAAATAAAATAGCAACACCGGTCAACCACCGGTCAACGGCGGCCAAGCAGCGGCGGTGACCGGCGGCGGCCGGCGACCGGAGTATGGCAGTGGCGGCGACCGGCGGCGACGACCGGAGACCGGCAGCGGCGGCTAGCGACTGGAGGCCGGCGACTGGCGGCGAGGCCGGAGGGGCCGGCGGCAGGCGGAGGTCAAAGCTGGAGTCAACGGTCAAAGTCTAGTCAACACTCCTTCCTTTGATTTTTTTTTTCAAAAAAAATTCAAAGTGTTGAAAAAAATATGGTGAGTTTTGACTTACAGTTTGGTGAGCTTTGTAGTTGTGCTTGGTGAGCTTTGCAGTGGGCAGTGGTGAGCTTTGCGTCATATGACCGAAGCATGTCATCGCACCATAAGGTGTCATCTCACTAGAGTCAATCCCATATATATATATATATATATACACACACACACACACACATACACATATAAAAATAATAAGCACACACATCTTTTTTTCCCATGTGATAATGTGATTGGTAGATGATCCAAAACAACACAGGCATGCATTCTAGTTTCTACAAGTACCAAATGCAAGAAAGCGTTAAAAGAGTGCTCCTACTACCTCTCCACCAGGCATTGGAAGGTAGCAAGGAATAAACAAACAATAATAGGATAGTTGCGCAAAAATGTTCAAGAGGCTTCTTCGCTTAACCACTTATTCAATGCTAGTGAAAACGGATCTTACCTGAACTTGAGGCGCTTCGAGGGACCTGCAAAACTA